TCCGCTCCCAGCTGGGGCACAAGCAGCAGGCAGCTGATGGATGTTTCTCTCTCACCCGTCTCCCTCTCTTGGGGTGACTGTGAGAAACACGTTTTCGCGGAGGATGAAATTAGAAACGGAAAACCAGCATGTAAATAGCACTCGCTGTGGCAGGCGCCGACTTTTTTACGTCTCTCAGCGCTTCTCCGAGGCTAGTTCCTCCTTCGCAGCGGCCACATTTCCAGGGCCCGGGGCCATGTGCGCCTTGTCCTCACCCCCATTTTACAGATGAGGAGACTGAGGCTCAGAGTGGGTAAGTCAGTAGCCCGTGCAGCTGGGGCTTGAGTCCCTACTGTACTTTTTAAAAACACTAGTCATCCTATTACCCTGTAGAAGGACGGAATGACAGCGCCAGGTGATGGGGAGCGGACATCCTCGCCGTCCCTGTGGCATCTGCGTCAGTTTCCTCCTTGTCTTTCGTTTGGTGCCTGTGGTTTCCAGGTGCCGCTGGGTTTGGTTGATTCGGCTTTCGCTCTTGCTCTGTCTTGCTCAGCCGGCACGCCCCTGACCTTCGCCATCCGTAATGAGAGCGCCGGGCCCTGGCCGCCCACCGGGGCTGTTGTGAGGGTAAAACCAGGGCATGGAAAGCCCGGGGTGGAGTATGGAGTGGAGCATAATGAATGCTCACGTTTCTCCTGTAAGAAAACGGGGGCTCATGGACCCCCCTCCCCAGGCCTCGCCTTTGCCTTCCGAGTCGGCGCTGTCCTCAGAAATCAGTGTGAGGGACCGGCTGTCCTACCCCTGGGCCCAAAGACCTTTTCCATGCATGTCCAGAGGGGAAGCCCTGTTTTGTGCATCACATGGAGTTTTTGTTGCGCTTCTCTTTCTTCCCTCCTCCCCCCCTTTCCCTGCTCCCCCTTCGCTTCTCTCCCTTAAAATACATGTAAAAGCCCTAGGCCACACAGCAACAGGCCAGGGGGGGGGGGCAGCTTTCCCCCCCATTCCAGACCTGCGGCCGGCACACAGGAGCTGAGCTTGCAATGTTCTTTCCTTTGACTTTAAGTTCAAATGCCCACGCGTGGGTGGTGCTCAACTTCGGACACGTGGCTCCGGTGGCCGAGGCTCAGCCCGTCCCTCAGCGCTGAAGGGGCCCTTCAGCTGCAGGCTGCCCGCCCGCCCGCCTGGCCGCCTCCCCGGCTCCAGGCATTTCAAGGGCTCCCGAGAGCAGCTGGGCCGAGCCATCCTGCCGCCCTCTGCCCCTCCCCTCCTCCTGGAATGCCTCAAGCACCTTCTCCCTAATTGTTGTATTTGTTCCCGGAGGCAGGCCTTCCATTATGGCCCCGCAGGGCGCAGGGCGCAGGGCGGCCTGTGTGTTGTGGGGCGCAGGGGAGGCCGGAGGCTGGTTGCTGTGGTTACACCTGGGAGCCCTTCACCATCTGGGCTCAGATGTGCTCGTTAGGCTGGTGTTTCAAAAAAAAAAAACTGTATATAAAAAAAAAATCAATATTGAAGGTGAAAAAAAAACCTGTATAGAAGCGAGGGATGGGCACAGGGAGGAAGGACAGAAATGCGGGAACAGCCTCCCCCAGCTTATTTCCCTCTTGGCACAAATGAACTAACAGCTGAGATGTCTGAGGACTGGCTGTTCCTATTGAAACCTCCCAGCAGCCCATTTTACAGAAGGGGAAAACCGAGGCTCAGAGCGGTGACAGTCTATGGGGTCAGGGAGTCATCCAACTGCAGAGCTGCTTTCTTATCCACCCCTCCTCCTGGAGTGGGACCGGAGGGGAGGAAGGTGAAGCTGACTTAGCTGGGATTCTGAAGTGATTGCCCTGATGGGCCTCAGTTGCCCTGTCGGTGAAATGGGTGGGCAGAGACCCAGGGCTTCCCGAGCAGCAGCACCTCAGTTCACATTCCCAGCTCGCACCTCTCTGCCTGAGAAGCAAGCCAGGTCACCCCTGGAGGTCCAGGCAAGGCCAGGTCCCGCTGTGACATCCGGGGCCCAGTCAGTTTCCCCTGCACTGCAGCGCCCCCAGAGGGCTTCCCCGTCACTGTCGGTGCCCTCGGGGAACCCCCATCCCCTCTCCATGGCACTGGCCCTAACGCAGCATCGCCGATCTCCCAGGGTCAGCGGGCGGGCAGCCTTGGTGATGCCTTAGATTGCAGTCCGGGATGGGAGTGCCCAAGAGGTGGGTGCAGCCCCTGGTCCCCGAGTCCCAGCTCCTCTTGGGGCAGTCCTAGGCACAGGCACCCACACCCCAGCCTCCATTCTTGGGGGCTCGGCAAAGCCCGTGGGCGGTGGCCAGGCCCCAAAGCCCACGTCCCTTTGGCCCCCACGCTTCCCTGCCTCAACAGCTCCGGGGAAGGCTGTCATCATCTCTTATTTTTGGGGGAGGAAACGGGAGTTCAGAATGCAGTCCCTCGTCCGGTCACCAAGTGGCGAGGGGCAGAAGCAGGATTTGAACCCCGAGCTGTAGCTCTTCCCCACCCTCCTCGCTGCCAGGAGGCCGGGACACTGCCATGATGGAGTCCGGTGGGGTGGGGTCAGGCCCGGTTCCTGGGCAGCGCCCACGGGCCCCTCCTGGAGTGGCTCTGGGCGCCCAGGAAGCCGCCTGTGCTTTGTGGGGGGCCGGCTGACAAGCCCCCTCCAGGTCTTTGCTGCCCTCTGCTCCGGCTGAGCCGCCTGTGTGGAGCTGTTAGCTCGGGCTGCAGAGGTGGCCTCTGTCTGGGGCCTGGCGCCTGCTCCTCTGCCCCCCGCCCTGGGGCAGGTTGCCACTGGCTGAGCCTGGGGGCGGCATTCCCAACCCAGAGGCTGGAGGGGAGCCTGTTAGGTGACGTGGAAGAGGCTTTAGTGCTGCACCTGCTCAGTGAGGGTGAAAACACAAAACGCGCGTGTTTCAGTGCCGTTGTAGATCGGGTATTAAACAAAGCGGGCGAGTGGCTGGCATTTCTCTCTTTTTCTCCCCCCCCCCCCCCCCCCCCCCGGCCTTTACCATCCAGATCACTTCTAACCCCAAACAATCTGGAAAGGACAGGAATCCCCCCGTGGTTTCCTCCCGTGGTTTCATTTACGTGCAGTCAACTGAGGTCTGAATATATGAAATGGAAAGTTCCAGAAAGAAACAATGATAAATGTTTACCTGTGGCTGTCCTGAGTAGCGGGTGCAGCGGGTGTGAATCACGTGTTTGTCCAGCCTCTGCACGCTGGGCACGCCCCCTCCCCGTCAGCAGCCATTTGGTTATCAGAGAGTCACGGCGTCATGGTCTTGTGTTCAGGGGACCCCTGTTTTACTTAACGGCCCAAAGCTCACACGTCGCTCAAACGCCATCACAGGCTGGTACTACGGTGTATCCGCGGTTTCGGTATCTGCTGGGGGTCTTGGCACATTACCCCCCCCCCCCCCCCCCCGCCGAGAGGCGGACTGCTGTGCACACACATGCACGCGCACAGGGCCTTGCACACTCACTTCCCCAGATTTCCCCTTTTCTCCCTCTCTCCTCACCCCCCCACCCCCCCATCTGCCATCTGTTTCCTGAGAGCTCATTCTCTCACTGGTTACTGTCAGGAAGGAAGGGTGGTTTATGCTAATGCAGGCTAGCATGTGACTGACAGCTCCCCAGGGGTACTGACACTGAAACAATAATCATGGCAGCCTTCCAGTCTCCTGTCTGGTCTGTGTCACTAGCATGGCCGTGAGCACTGAGGAGGCTGACGCCCCGGGCGGACTTCTGAGTGGCTTTCTGTCCTGCCCAGCCTCCCCGCCACCCCCAGAGTAGCCGGCTCCTGAGTGTAGCAGCACGTTTCTGGAGAGGTTCCCCAGCTACTTCCTGCAGCTCAGCCCAGTGGCCCCGGGAAGAGGCTCCGCTCTGCTGTGTCAGCCGCTTCTAGATCCTCCCAGCTCCTCGGAGGTCGGAGGCCCCAGCCCTTTGCAGCGGAGGAAGCTGCGGTGAGATGGAGGAAGTGACTCTCCCGGAGCCACGTGGCAGGAAACGCCTCGGCCTTTCATCAGCCTTGACCCGGCCCGGAGTCCCTCTAACCCTGGTGGACGGAGGGCTGAGCCGGGGCTGGTCCAGGGGCAGGCCAGGGCCCCTGTGGTCTTGGCTGGACCTCATATTCCAAGGGGAATGCGTCTCCCCGGCCCCTTCCTCCACGCCCCGCCCCGCTCCCCAAGCTGCCGGCAGCTCCCAGGCATGCAGGCTCCTTCCTGCCAGTGACTTTGCACTGGCTGTTCCCTTTGCCAGGAACAACACTCTCCCCTCTTCCCTGCCTGGCTGTCCAGGCTTCACCTGCCGGCTGTTCAGAACTCCGCTGAGGGCTGCCTCCTCCTGCAGGAAGCCTGCCCTCCCCTGCTCAGTCGAACCCATCACCCCTCCCAGGTGTGGGTCTGTGATGTGTGTGGGTCCTGGGACTGAGGTTGTGCCTCTGAGCTCCCTCACCCAATTCCTGGAATTCCTGGCACATAGTAGTTGCTCATTAAATGTTAGAATCAATGGATAACCAGTTGTTACGATAGAAACTGCTCAGTGCTTCCCGTGTGCCAGGCACATTCTTCTGTCTTTGGCGGTTGTTCCGTGTTCATGACTAATCTTTGATGTTGACACTCTTAGACCCATTTTTTACAGACGAAGCTCAGAGTAGTAGATCCCATTGCCCAAGCTCACACAGCCACCCAGGAAGTGGCAGAGCTGAGATTCGAACTCAAGCCCGCCTGACTCCCTGAATGCCCAGAGACCGCAAGCCCTGACTTTGCTTCTCGGGAACACAGCAGGGGCGAGGCGGAGGAGGGCTGGTGTGGACAGAGGCCGGCCGAGTGTCCAGCATCCGAGTCTGCGTCTTTCGTGTGGGGGGCGGCTGCCTAAACCGGGGAGGAGGGCGGCTCGGTCCCGCTGGCTGCCTCGGGGTCTGCACGGCAGAGGCCTACAGGCCTCGCTGACCACGGTGTCCCTCTCTCCCCAGATGTGAGCCCGGCGGGCGCCTGGCTGAGCCATCACCGACGCAGGCCCCGCGGCCCCGGCCCAGCATGCGCCTGTCCGTGCGGAGGGCGCTGCTGGCGGCCGGCTGCGCGCTGGCCCTGCTGCTGGCCTTCCAGCTGGGCCAGCAGGTGCTGGAGTGCCGGGCGGCGCTGAGGGGCCCGTGGAGACGCTGGCCCGCCATGCGGCCGGAGCAGGAGGATCTGGTGGTGGTTGGCCCGGACCGCGCCGAGTACCACTACGGCAAGGCCATGCCGCTCATCTTCGTGGGCGGCGTGCCCCGCAGCGGCACCACGCTGATGCGCGCCATGCTGGACGCCCACCCCGAGGTGCGCTGCGGCGAGGAGACCCGCGTCATCCCCCGCGTGCTGGCCATGCGCCAGGCCTGGGCCAAGTCCGGCCGCGAGAAGCAGCGGCTGGACGAGGCGGGCGTGACGGACGAGGTGCTGGATGCGGCCATGCAGGCCTTCATCCTGGAGGTGATCGCCAAGCACGGCGAGCCGGCCCGCGTGCTCTGCAACAAGGACCCTTTCACGCTCAAGTCCTCCGTCTACCTGTCGCGCCTCTTCCCCAACTCCAAGTTCCTGCTGATGGTGCGGGACGGCCGCGCCTCCGTGCACTCCATGATCACGCGCAAGGTCACCATCGCCGGCTTCGACCTCAGCAGCTACCGCGACTGCCTGAGCAAGTGGAACAAGGCCATCGAGGTGATGTACGCGCAGTGCCTGGAGGTGGGCCGAGACAAGTGCCTGCCCGTCTACTACGAGCAGCTGGTGCTGCACCCGCGGCGCTCCCTGCAGCTCATCCTGGACTTCCTGGGCATCGCCTGGAGCGACTCGGTGCTGCACCACGAGGACCTCATCGGCAAGCCCGGCGGCGTCTCCCTGTCCAAGTGAGTGGCCCCGGCGGCCCCTGCATGAACGGAAGGTCCCTTAAAACGTCCGAGGCGTCAGGGAAGCAGAAGTGAGGCCCAGGCAGAGAGCACTCACGTGCTGAACCCCTTTGGGCGCCCCCCCCCTCCCCCCACATACACAGAGGGCGTGACCGGGCCTGTGACCTGTCCGCAGTCTCACAATCTCCCCGCTGCCCCAGAGCGACTGAGCAGGGGCCCCCCCGGGAGCCCCCGGGTCTGCCCGCTCCCTGAGCCTGCCTTCTCTCCGCAGGATCGAGCGGTCCACGGACCAGGTCATCAAGCCCGTGAACCTGGAGGCGCTGTCCAAGTGGACGGGGCACATCCCCGGGGACGTGGTGCGGGACATGGCCCAGATCGCCCCCATGCTGGCCCGGCTCGGCTATGACCCCTACGCGAACCCTCCCAACTACGGCAACCCGGACCCCATCGTCATCAACAACACGCACCGGGTGAGTGGGCGTGCTCTCACACACGTGGAGGCGTGCTCTCACACACGTGGAGGCGTGCTCTCACACATGTGGAGGCGTGCTCTCACATGTGGAGGCGTGCTCTTACACATGTGGAGGCGTGCTCTCACGCACACAGGAAGGCGTGCTCGTGGTCTGCGGTGAGGGTGCAGGCCCAGCTGTCTGAGAAAACAATAAGCGTCTTGATTCTGGAGTGTGCCGGGTGGGTCACGTGACTGCTGTATTTCCATGTTTGCCTGGGTCACAAGGAAGCTCAGCCTCACACTCTGCAGTCTCCAGCCTGCAGGCCCATCTGTGCACTGATTTTACTTTATTTCCCTGCTCTGACTTCCCCTTTATTGGATCCAGAGAAGGGAGGAAGGGAGAGAGGGATAGAAACATCAATGATGAGAGAGAACATGGATGGGCTGCCTCCTGCACGCTCTACACTGGGATCCATCCCACAACCCGGGCCTGTGCCCTGACCGGGGATCGAACCATCACCTCCTGTTCAACCACCGAGCCCCCGCCGGCTGGATCTGAGAGTCGTTTAGTCTTTAGAGGGGAACTACTGAGTTAAGTTCCGTTGTTGAAAGCCTTGTGTGTGTGCATGTGTATGTGTGCGTGTACATGTGTATGCTGTGTGTGTTTCTGTAATGGATCCAGGGGTACAGCACTCAGTGGTTGAAAGGACCCCAGTGTTAGTGAAATTGTCTTCCGGGAGCCGGGAAGCTCTCTCCCAGGGATTGGTCACAGCCCTGGGGATGTAGTGAGGGACAGGCCCAGGCCGCCCCATGCTGGCCACGTGGATGGACGGGTGGGTGGACGGGTAGGTTAGTGGCGGGATGGGTAAGTTAACGGATGGACGGGTGGGTGGGTGGATAGGTGAGTGGCGGGATGGGTACGTTAATGGGTGGATGGATAGGTACGTTAATGGACGGACGGGTGGGATGGTGCATGGATGTGGAGGTGATGGACTAGATTTTATTTCGTCATCAGATCCATGAAAGGGACATTTCTTTTCCCTTTTGTAGGTGTTGAAAGGGGACTACAAGACACCAGCCAATCTGAAGGGACATTTCCAGGTTAGAACCTCACGGGACTGAATCCTGTGCCCGGCGTCCCGCCAGCTGTGCCTGACACGTCACCCTGCTTTTGCCTCTTCCGTGGGCAGGGTGTGTGTGTGTGTGTGTGTGTGTGTGTGCGTGCTCTGCTGAGTCACCCCCGGAACCGTCTTTAAGGCCTGGAATCCGCTCAGATCGTGTTTTCACGGAGTCTGAGGAGCAGAGCGGAGGAGGGCGTGTGCTGTGTCATGGCCCCCCCCTCAGGGAGCTGCCCTGCCCTTGGGCCCCCGCCCCCCTGCTTCCCCGCACGTGACGTGGGCCGGGATGTTCAGCCTGGAGTGAGCGCTGAGTGGAGGAAAAGGCGCCCTAAGTGAGCCGTCGGTGCAGTCCTCCTTGTGACAGAGGCGGCCTTGTGAAGCCAGAGAGAGGGGGACACGGGCCGGCAGAGCTGAGCTCACACGCTGAGTGCAGCTCGGGCGGGCGCCCATGTCTGCCGCCCTGGGCTCTGCTGTTCCCATTCGGCCTCTGGCCTCCACGTGGCGGGCTCCCCGCACCTTTCAGGCTGTGGCTTGTGGGTGCGGTGAGACCGCAGCCGGTTCTCCGGTTCTCCGGGCACCAGCTGGCGCTCGGCTCAGCCCTGGCACCGACGCCTGGAGCTCCCCCTGCAGCTGGAGGCACCGCCCGCGGCCCCTCGGGGTGCACCTCCCTCCCGGCCGGAAGCTAGGGGTTCTGGGGAGCTTCATGGTACATGACTGACGGGGTCACAGGCCAGTGATTACTAAGGTCGGGGAGGGCGGGGGAGGGCGGTGCTGAGTCGCACCCTCTGATCTGCCTGGTCCTCTGGCTCAGCCCCCATCCTGGAGCTCTGTGGGCCCTGGCCCCCGGCCATCTCATTAGCATACGGGACACTGCGGGTTTTAGGAGCTGTGTGCCAGGCCCAGGTCAAAGGTCACATGCTGGTTCTTCATCGCACCCCAGTCACCCCGAATCGGCCCCTCCCACCAGGGAAGCAGCCCCACTGCCATCTCTCCTGGCGGCCAGCATGTTGCCAGGCGTTGCCGGGCGTTGCCGGGGGTGGACAGCATCTTGCCTGTGTATGAGCTCCAGCCCCTCCCCCTAGAGTAGAGCTGCTTGAGAACAGGCCTGGGCTGCGGGGCTCATGTTTCCCAGCACCTCGCACATAGTAGGTGTGCACCTCGCACATAGTGGGTGTACAGGAAGTATGAAATGGGTGAGTGTGCGTGCCGGGCGGTGACGCTGACGGTGGGCCGCGGGCAGCGAGCCCCTGGCACCCCCTGGCATGACCTCCCGTGTCCTCCCGTGTTCTCCGCAGGCGAACCCAAACAGCACCGCCACCCACGGGGGAAGCTCGTGATTTCCAGGTACGCCCTCCTCCCCCGCCCCGCGGGCTCCGGAGCCACTTTGCTGAAAAGCTGGCCCTTCCAGGGCCGCCCGGGAGGAGTGTCCCCCAAGGTGGGCTGACCACCCCTCTGGGAGGTTTCCATGGTGACCGGCCAGGGAGCTATTTATAGGACCAGGGCTCCGTCTCCTCCCTGGGCGGCTGGGCAGGCTCGGTGCTGCCAGCCAGGGGGAGGCTGTCTGGCTGCAGGGACGCTGCCCGGGACCAGTGATCATGGTGGCCTGGCATGCCGCCCGCCGGGCCGGCTTCTAATAACGGATCCGGTTTGGCCCAAAGCAGCCGGGGTTCTGCTAGTTCCCGAGGGGGAGCCCCCCACAGACCGCCTCTGAGGGGGAGCCCCCCACAGGCCGCCCCCGAGGGAAAGCCCCCCACAGACCGCCCCCGAGGGGGAGCCCCCCACAGACCGCCCCCAGGGGAGCCCCCCACAGACCGCGCCCAGAGTTTGCTTTTAGCCTAAGTCCGTGTTCACTTCTGTGTGTGCTGAGGGGCAGAGGGACGGGCTCCCAGCCTGGGTGTGAACTTGGGCCACAGGTTTAAGGGCTCCTTCATGTGTGACTCCTCTCAGCCTCCGTTTCCACATCTGGAGAACGGGCTCTCGTCACGGCCCCCCTGCGAGAGGGCTGACGGGGGGAGGGAGGGGAGTGGGGTGCTGGGCCTCGCCATGGCCCGGGCGGGGAGTAGCTGAGAGCACCCAGCGGGGGTGCCCCCCCCCCCCCCCCCCCGGGTCAGGGAAGCGCGAGAGGAACCTGCCCGGGTATCTCCCGTGTTTCTTAAACGGAAACAGCTTTACCCAGACTCTGTTTTCAGTCTCATCTTATTTCCCAATCATCAGCATATTTTTTCACTTAAAAAAAAAAATCCACTTTGCACCCACGTGCCCGGCTGTAAATACCCGGCCCGTCTCCCTCAGGGTTTCTAACCCCCCTCTCCCCCCCAAATCCTGCTCAGACCCCAGAGTCTGCTTCATCCCAGAGAAAAGAACCACCGGGGACACAGGTCTCTGCCCGCCCTGCTCTCTGCCCGTCCTCCCAGCTCCTGCCTCCCCCCCCATCCCCCCACCAAAGCCGGACGCACCCCCACTTCCCTGCTTAAACCACACACCCAGCGCGCTGGCTCCTCCCCGGCCGGATGGCCTGGACTCCGTGCTGACCCTCCCCCCGCCCCCCCCCCCCCCGCCCCAACAGGCACTGCTTTGGCTCCGTGCAGAGGAAGGGTGTCTTGGGGGTGCGGGTGCGATGGGGGAGGGTGTCTTGGGGGTGTGGGTGCGATGGGGGAGGGTGTGGGGGGTGCGGGTGCCATGGGGGAGGCTGTGGGGGGTGCGGGTGCCATGGGGGCGGGTGTCTGGAGGGTGCGGGGGCGATGGGGGAGGGTGTGGGGGGGTGGGGGGCGATGGGGGCGGGTGTCTGGGGGGTGCGGGTGCGATGGGGGAGGGTGTGGGAGGGTGTGGGGGTGCGATGGGGGAGGGTGTGGGGGGCGATGGGGGAGGGGGTGGGAGGGTGGGGGAAGTTGGGGGCGGGTGTCTGGGGGGTGCGGGTGCCATGGGGGAGGGTGGGGGAGGGTGCGGGTGCGATGGGGGAGGGTATGGGGGGTGCGGGGGTGATGGGGGAGGGTGTGGGGGGGTGGGGGGCGATGGGGGCGGGTGTGGGGGGTGCGGGTGCCATGGGGGCGGGTGTGGGGGGGTGTGGGTGCCATGGGGGCGGGTGTCTGGGGGGTGCGGGGAAGATGGGGGCGGGTGTGGGGGGTGCGGGTGCCATGGGGGCGGGTGTGGGGGGGTGTGGGTCCATGGGGGCGGGTGTCTGGGGGGTGCGGGGAAGATGGGGGCGGGTGTGGGGGGTGCGGGTGCCATGGGGGCGGGTGTGGGGGGGTGTGGGTCCATGGGGGCGGGTGTCTGGGGGGTGCGGGGGCGATGGGGGCGGGTGTCTGGGGGGTGCGGGGAAGATGGGGGCGGGTGCCATGGGGATGGCCTCCATCCTCCGTGCTCCGGGTCCCGCACTCGGAGGAGCGGGCTCACGGCTTCTCTGCTCGCAGGTCCGGCCAGCGGCCGCCGGGACGGGGCGCCGGCTCCGTGGAAATCGGATCCAATCCAAGCATATTGCTTGCTATCACCGGCAGACGGACTGCCGCCCAGGGGCGTGTTTGCATCTGTTTGCAAAGCCCGGGCACCGGAGCGCCCGACACGCTGCCCGCGGGCCTCCGGGCGGGGACGGCGGCGCGGACACGCCGCTCCCGGGACTCGGCTTTTCTACTTTCCCGCCGGGCTTTCTGCCAGGTGGCCCGGCCGCCTCCCGTGCGGGCGCTGCTGGCTGGGACCAGGCCACCCGTGCCTCCCGAGGACCCTATTTTTGAATTCAAAGAATCTATTTAAAGATTTAATATATGAAGCTTTCTCTGATTCCTCCCGTTCTTACATGACACAGGACGCGGGTATATGTTGGAATGAAGGGAGCAGGGACAGGTCTGTCTGGGCCTTACTCACGGAGGGGCGGCCGGGGCCTGCGTTTCGGGGTTGGGGGGCGTGGCCCGGGGTGAGTGTCCTGAGTCTGGGTCCCCACGTGCCCCCCGGTTTGGTGATTTGCTGGAAGAGCTCACCGAACTCGTAAACCCCCCCCCCCCCCCCCCCCCCCCCCGTGGACGGTTTGCTGCGGATCAAACCCAGCAGAGGCCCGGGGCGGGCGGAGGGATGGTGGGGCGGAGGGTGCCCTTCCCTCGCGGGTGTGACCGATGGGCCGGGCCGTGGGCCCCGTGAGCGGAGACGCCGTCGGACTGGCCGCGGCCACACTGTGCGCACAGGAAGCTGGGGGTCGGCATCGCCGGAGGGGGACGCATGCGCCTCCGTTTTCCTGCAAATCCCACCCACCAGCGCCAGCGCCGTGGCCTCACACCACCGACTGCGAAGCCTCAGTCCTGGGAGAGCTGAGCGGGCCGCCCGCTGCCTCTGCGATGTGGGTGCTTGGCCCTCACGGCTCTGGGGCTGGCGGGAGCCCCACTCCAAGCAACCTGACTTCGTTTTCTGCATTGATTTATCCGGGAGCATTTCCAGGGGCTTGTTTTCCTCGTTCAGTGGCAGAGCCTTCCATACACTGTCCCCCCTCCCTCTGCACACGTGTGCACACACACACACAGTCACGGGTACAGGCTCCATCTACAAACCACAAGGACGGCGATCCGAGGGGGACCCACAGGTCCGAGTTCCGGCGGCTCCTCGGAAGCCCCTTCCTCACCAGGCTCTGCATTTGCCCGCCGGGGCCCGGATTCCGTTGGTCTGACTTAGACCATGAACTGGATGAGTCTGGGACCACATGGTTCATGGCTCACCATTTACCCCCACGTGGTGCCTGGCGGATGGAGGGGTCCCCAGAGGTTCCCCACCTCCGGGTACTCACACCCTTTCATGCGATGTCCCTTCCACACACACGAAGGCAGGGTTCCAGGTTAATAACAAGACAGGTGGCTAGGCTTGGGTTGCAGATAAAACAGTAAGTATCCCATGGGACACGCCCTGAAATCCTGTGTCATTTGTCTGAAATTCAAGTGGGACTGGGCATCCTGGAGTTTTATTTGCTCCATCTGGCTGACAGCCCTCCCTGGGGCCGGAGATTGGGTGTAACCCCCAAGGCGAGATCTTAAACACGGTGTGGATTTGGCCTTGTTATCTGGACTCAGCTCCCTCCCTTGGGGAGGCTGGTCACCCTCACGAGGACACTGAGCACCTGACACAGGTTCACGGGGCAAGGCCCTCTGGCCTCCTGCCCACAACCAGCACCAGCCGGTAGCCATGCGAGCGGATCCCCTCAGGAGAGCGGTCCCAGGGGGCCCCCACGTCACAACATGCGGCTGGGCCACACGTGAATTCCTCCCCAAAGAAACTGAGATCACATTTTCTGCAGTTCCCAGCTGCTCAGCTTGAAGGTAACTGTTAACACTGCAATCAGTGATACATGAGGCTCATAAATGCTTGTTCATGAGTGGCCCAATGAATGAATGAATGAGTGAGTGAGTGAGTGAATGAATGGATGATGGCGTCCGGGGTTCCTCATCTCACCGTGGCTTTTGAGGGTTTGCTTTCAGATCCTGCCTCGGGCCTGCAGAAGGTCCTGTCCCAACTTGCTATCTCAGGATGGTGGTCGTGAAAGGGTGGAAGGCATCTGCAGGAAACATTTAAAGAAAGCCAGTGCGCAAACCCAGCTGATCTGGATTTTCAGTTCCGGCCCGGTATATATTTTTGTGGCAAGATTCAAGCCGTGTGCAACTGTAATGTCAGTGTCCTAGAAAAGGCACTTGTGCTAGACTCTAAATAAATCAGCTTTGAAATGCCACTTGCGAGCTGTTTCTATGGTATCAGCCTATTTCAAGTGGTAACTGAGCAAGGATCGCCCCCCCGCGCCCCCCAATCTTTCAGAGGCAGAACAGCATGGCACAGGCTGCTAAAGGGGGGGTCGGGAGTGGGGGCCCGGGTGGGCACAGAAACCCCCGGGGAAAGTTGGGGAATTGAAGAGATGACGTATGCCGGGGCTTGACTCTGTGACCCTGAGCAGACAGAGATCTCTAGAAGTACTGGCTCCGACAAGTGGACAGAAACGGATGGGGCCCCGGGCAGGGACTCTGAGCCAGCTCTGGCCTGGAAGTCCGACCTCCTGGGTCCTAGAACAAGCTCTGTGCTCAGACTCGCTGTGTAGCCCCGGCTGCTTCCTGTGGGACGGCTCCTCCATCACCTCGTCTGTGAAAAGGGGGAACGGACCGATGAGGGTCGGAAGGCCCTGCCCGGCTCCTGCAGAGGAGCCTTGTTGCTTGGCAACCCCTCCTGGGAAGGCTCACGTCCGAGTACCTCATTGGGAATCTAAACACGGGCCTGGGTGTCCTGAGTCCCAAAGCAGGGGTTCCTCTGGGCAGTGACTAGCGGCCAGGGTGGGTATGGGGTCTTGAATCGAAACTTCTTGAACCCAGAAATCCTGAAAAACTACCCACCTTTAAGGCCGAGAGGTCTTCCATGTGAAGGTATGAAATTGGGTCTTTGAAATGAAAAGAACCACAACCATGTACAAAGCACTTATTGCTCTAAGAGCTATATATGCCTCAATTAGGCTCCCCCCCCCCCCCATTTTGTGTCCTGGAAACAACCCTTTTAGAGCAGTGCTGACATTGTCCCCATTTTTACAGGTGAGAAAACTGAGAGGTGAAGCAACCTGCCCCAGTCCCAAACCTAGGAAGCAGAAAAATGGAGATTGGGATCCTTGAAGGTTTACTCCAGAAACTCCATTTTAAAAATTCTAAATGCATAGAGAGGTTTTTTTTTCCTCTCAATCATGAAATTAGAGCGTGTAAATCAGAGACCTGGAACTGTTCCACACGGAAGGAGACTAAGGAGACATGGCGACTAAATGCAACACTTGATTCTGAACTGGGTCTTTGCTGTAAAAAAAATTTATTGTGACCTCCCTGCAGGGCCAGAGCCCTGTAGGTCTCTCCATAGCGTTCTTTTCAGACTCGCAGAATTCATGACTAGAGTGCTGTTCTCAGCATGTCCACAAGAGGGCACGATTGCGACCCTCCCCTTACTAGTGTGCTGTTCTCGGAGGAGAAAAGTAGAAAAAAATGTTTTGGGACAACAGGCAAAGTTCAAATAGAGTCTCAGGTGTCCATGGCAGTGATGTGTCCGTGGTAATTTTCTGGTTTCGGTGGTGGTTTTGCAGTTACATTGGAGAATGTCTTGGTTGGAAATACGAGAGTATTAGGGCATCAAGTTGAGAGACCTAAAGGGCTCTGGCCCTGCGGAGAAGGGTTGCAATGGTGCCGCCTTGTGGACATTCTGAGAACAGCACCCTAGAGATTTTCCAACGGGAGATCCAGTTCAGAATCATGTATTGCATTTACGGTAATTGCCATGTTTCTCAGAATGCACAGTTACAGGGTCTGTGATTTACACGACCACGGCACTTTAGAAGATGACAAGCAAGTTGTTTTTTTTTTGTTGTTTTTTTTTTTGTAGAATGCCCTTTATTTGGGTTTGTCTGATGTATGCTTGTGATTTGGTTCAGATTGTGTGTTTTTGCCAGGGATATCACAGGGGCGAAGCTGCAATTTTCTCAAGGCATCCTACCAAGTGGTATGTGATGGCCATTTGTCCTATCCTTGATGCGCACTCGAATCAGAGGCTGTTTTCTTTTTTAAAATGTATTTTTTATTGATTTCCGGAGGAAGGGAGAGGGAGCGAGAAATAGAAACGTCAACAATGAGAGAGAATTATTGATTGGCTGCCTCCTGCACGGCCCCTGCTGGAGACCGAGCCCGCAACCTTGGGACCCTTGGGGCCAAAGGCTGACGCTCTATCCATTGAGCCACACCGGCTAGGGCCAGGATACGGTCTTGCCTTTCATCATTCCCACACGAAGGCGTGTTCCTGTCCCCCATCCCCGTGATGCCTCACAACTCCTCGCCTCTCTCCTTTGAGGCGGGCAGAGGAGCCACCACGGAGGCTCGGCGACGTCCACCCCAATCAAAACAGGCGGGGCGTCGCCCCGAGGCCGGCGCGGCGGGGAGGTGACCAGCCACGTGGGACCCTGAGGCTCCGCGTCTGCTTTCCGGCATCTCGGCCCCGCCCCTCTGAGCCGCGGCCGCTCCAGGCGTTCTTGCTGCCATGGCAACTAGCGCGCCGTTTCCGCCGTCTGACGTCATCACCGGCGCGCCGGTCCCTGCACTTCCGGGTTCCGGGCACCGACTTCCTGAATCGCGCGCTTCCTGTGCGCAGGGGGCGGCCGTGTTTGGGACGCTGAGCTCGCACCAGGTGAGCCGCGCTGGGGGCGGGAGGGACGGGGCGCCGGCCCAGGGGAGCGGGTGCTAGTGCCCGGGGGGGGGGAGGCAGCCGCGGCCCCGCTTCCGTTCCCAGCGGCTCGGCGGAGGCCGAGGGGGCGGGCGGGCGCTGCTCCGGGCCGCCTGCCGCAGGGCTGCCCGCGGGGAGCTTAGGGGAGGCCGCTGGCTTCTCGGCCTCAGTTTCCCCGATCTGGGGAAGCGCCTCGCGGCCGGCGTTAGGTGGTCGGCCCGAAGCAAGTGCTCAGCCGGAGCCGAGCGCTGCTCCACGCGTGTCAGCCCCCGCGATCGGTGCCATGCCCGGTGCCCACGCCTCCGGGGCCCCGCGGGACATTGTCCCCCTTGGCACGCGGCGGGTCGGATGCAGGAGCGCCCACATCGCCAGCGAGTCCGCCCAGGGAGCCGGGAAAGCCGCCCAAGGGAGCGTGGCTGGTGGGCGCTGCCGGGGGAGCCACGGGCTCCCTGTCGCCCAGGCTGCTGGCGGCGGCTGGTGGGCCCGGATCCGTTACTGCCCTGCGGTCCCATGTCCACCGTGTGGCGCCCCTCGCTGGGCAGTGTGCCTGGGAGAGGGGGGATTTGAACTCCGGCAGCCTGATTTCCCAGTCCTTGGTGAACCATACCAATGGCAATCACGGGCTCCCGGGAACAGCTGCTGCTCCGGAGCGCTTACTCGGAGGGAAGTGTTTTCCAAGTGGCATCGCCTGGGCTGGGCCCTGCAGGCGCCCTCCAAGGCGGGGGTGGTGGTGAGTGCGTTTGAGAGACAGCTGCGTCTCATCACCCGCTTCCAAGAACGGTGTTCTGTTCCAGTGGAGAGAGGCTTGGCTGTTAAGCTTGTGTTCTGAATCACTGCCGCCTTCCAGCTCCTCCGAAGCGGTCGGTTCGTGTTTGGGGAGGAAAACTGAGTCTTGGGGTCTCAACAAGTAGTTTGCTTCAGAAAGCATATTCTAAAGGAATCGCTTTCGCCCTGGCTGGTTTGGCGCAGTGGGCAGAATGGTGGCCTGCGGACTGAAGGGTCCCAGGTTCGATTCCGGTCAAGGGCATGTGCACATCCACATCCCCAGTAGGGGGTGCGCAGGAGGCGGCTGATCAATGTTTCTCTCTCATCGGTGTTTCTAACTAGTATCCCTCTCTGTAAAAAAACAATAATATGTATATATTTTTAAATCACTTCCTGGGACTGCCAGGTCCAGATATAACTTTCTCAACAACAGAAGAAGTCATGGAGTAGGGGTGATGTCTACATTAAGGAATAACAGTTATTTTTGTGTGAGAAATGTTTTATGACACTGACTAGGACAAGGGAATACATGCTTAAGAACCAGACTTGGGACTAGCCTTTTGTTCACCTGTCTTAGTATCCATTGCTTCCTAAAATAGGGTTTGATTATTTTTGTGTGTATTTTTTAAAACATATTTTTATTGACTTTAGAGAGGAAGGGAAAGGGACAGAGAGATAGAAATGTCAGTGATGAGAGAATCATTGACTGGCTGGCTCCACTGGGGATCGAGCCCGCAACCCGGGCATGTCCCCTTGACCCTTCAGTCCCCAGGCCAACACTCTATCCACTGAGCCAAACAGGCTAGGGCCAGTTTGTTTTTTGGTTAATCCTCACCCAAGAATATTTTTCGAGAGAGCGGAAAGGAGGGGAGAGAGAGAGACAGAAAGAAACATGGATGAGAGAGACATTTATTGTGGCCTCCCATACATGTCCAGACCAGAGCGAGGGATCCCTTGGCTGGTTTCGAACCCGAGACCCTTCCATCCGCAGGCTTATCCACTGGGCCACACCGGCTAAGGCCCAAAGTACGATTTTAATGGCTGCTTGCCTGGATTGTCATGGTGACGAATGGACCGAGTTTGCGGGGAATTCGGGAGGTGGGCAGGAAGAGGAACACACAAGCAAGTCTTCCCTTGATGCTCTGGGAACCCATCACAGACCTCGCCTTCCTCCTCTGTTCCTCCAGGGGCTGCCATGTCACTGTCCCACCTGTACCGGGACGGGGACGGCCGCATGGACGACGATGACGACGAGAGGGAGAACTTTGAGATCACCGACTGGGACCTGCAGAATGAGTTCAACCCCAACCGGCAGCGGCGCTGGCAGAGCAAGGAGGAGGCCACCTACGGAGTGTGGGCGGAGCGAGACTCGGACGAGGAGAGGCCCAGCTTCGGGGGCAAACGGTGCTGGCCGGCCTGGGGCTGCTGCCTCTGGCTGTGGGGAAGGGGTCGGGGTAGACAGAGTGGGACTTGGGAGCTGCCCCACTGAACCTACTGTTCTCCCAGCCTCCCCTTCGCTGGGACAGCGGCCCATTGTCCTCCGGAGGCTGGCCTGCTGGCCTTCCGCCGAGCTGACCGCCGGCCGGTGTTTATTGAGCAGTTACTTAGGCCGGTGCTAGAGGCCCAGACCCCCTGGGTGGAGGCGGGCGCTAATCCCCAGCTCACCTAATGGACGTCGGTGACTGATTCCGGATTCCCGCCCGCCCGGGGCCTGTGTTTGCCTGCAGGGCCCGAGACTACTCGGCGCCCGTGAACTTCATCAGCGCGGGACTCAAGAAAGGGGCGGCCGAGGAGGCGGAGCTGGAGGATTCTGACGACGAAGAGAAGCCTGTTAAGCAGGAAGAATTTCCTAAGGATTTCGGGCCGAAGAAGTTAAAAACGGTAATATCTTTTTTTTTTTTTTCCTTCTAAATATACTTTTACTGATTTCAGAGAGGGAGAGGGGGAGATAGAAACATAAATGACGAGAGAATCATTGATCGGCTGCCTCCTGCGTGCCCCCTATTAGGGATCAAGCCTGCAACCTGGACATGTGCCCTTGACCAGAATTGAACCCGGGACCCTTCAGTCTGCAGTCTGACGCTCTATCCACTGAGCCTACCAGCTAGGCCAGTGGTCGGCAAACTCATTAGTCCACAGAGCCAAATATCAACAGTACAACGATTGACATTTCTTTTGAGAGCCCAATTTTTTAAACTTCTAACGCCACTTCTTCAAAATAGACTGGCCCAGGCCGTCCGTGGTATTTTGTGGAAGAGCCGCACCCAAGGGGCCAAAGAGCCGCATGTGGCTCGCGAGCCACAGTTTGCCGACCACTGAGCCACACCAGCTGGGGCAAAAGAACAGTAGCATCTGTGCGGAAGGACTGTGACCTTCGTGATGCCCTCGGAAGGTCCCTGCAGCCCCAGCACCTCCTCGAGGGTGGGGCCCAGCTGGGGTGTGGCTCCTTCCTGACACGGACACACGTGGTCTGTCTGTGTGGCCTTCCATGATCTGACGGCCAGGCCACAGCCCACCGGTGGAGCTCGCTCGCTAGATTTTCCTCCTTTTCTCTCTCCATCACCTGAGCTGCGCTGTTCCTTTGCAGGGCGGCAATTTCAAGCCCAGCCAGAAAGGCTTTGCCGGAGGAACCAAGTCGTTCATGGACTTTGGCAGCTGGGAGAGGCACACGAAGGGGATCGGGCAGAAGCTGCTGCAGAAGATGGGCTACGTCCCCGGGCGGGGCCTCGGCAAGAACGCGCAAGGTACGGCCTGGAGGGCTCCTGGGGGAGCCGGGGCCCAGGAGTCCCCAGGCACAGATTTCCCGTCCACGAGGAGATGAGTGCAGGGAGGTCTGTGTGTGTGTCTGTGTGTGTGTGTGTGGGAGCTCACACAGCGCTGGTCTGTGGCAGTCAGCGTGCTCGGGTTCCAGTCACCGGACACGGGCAGGTTGGGGTCAGGGACAAGCTCTCCTTCCTGGTGTGCGGGAGGCCCACGCTACGTGATTTCCCGAGCGGCGGGTTCAGAGACCGGACTGCTGCGATCTGAAGCCCCTCCCTTTCCTTCCCAGGCATCATCATGCCCATCGAAGCCAAGCAGAGGAAAGGAAAAGGGGCCGTGGGCGCCTACGGCTCCGAGCGGACCACCCAGACCCTGCAGGACTTCCCCGTGGTGGACTCGGAAGAGGAAGCGGAAGAGGTGACCGGAGTCTGGAGGCCTGGGTGGGTGGGTGGGGCCTGTCATTTGTGTGTGTTCGTTCATTCACTGTCAGTCTTCAGCGATCGCCCCGGTTACAGGCCAGGCTGGAGGGTGGTGGCCATGGCCAGTGGCTTACAGCCTGTGATCAGTCCATGGACAGGCATCGGGGGTTAGAAAGGGCAGCACCTGCTAAGGGCAGAGGTAGAAGAGAAGGTGGGGCTTGACATACTTGGGATGAGTGGGGGTCAGGAGAGACCTCTCAGGAAGAAGATATTCCAGGAAACACCTGGCAGAAGAGGGGGCCTCAGCCGCAGGGGGTCAGCCTGACAGTGGAGAGAGCTTGGGAGGCGGGCAGGATGGAGCACCCGCATCAGGGGCAGGGGCGGGGCGTGCATGGCAGAGGGGGGCCCACACCGCCCGCCTCTAGGGCCCTTCAGGTGCTAGGGTCTCAGTGCAGCGGGGCACCTGCCGTCAGCTGGTATCGCTTTGCCTCGGCGACAGAGGGGCCAGCTCCCTGGGAGGACGTTACCTTTTTCTCTGCATTTGTGGGGGAGCAGGACCCTCTCCTGTACTGGCAGGAGGCTGACCTGGAAACTACCAGGTGCCAGGCTGCAGCATCAGGGATGTGGGGGAGCCGGGGTGTGGGGGGGCCGGGGCATAGCCCATACAGAGGGCAGTGCCTGCTCAGCTCCAGGCGATTACTGCCGTACAGAATGTGGACTCAGTGTTGCCTGATTTTTCTGATTTCCCCAAAGGAGAAGTCCAGATTATTATTCTCTTTTTAAAAATATATACATATATTGATTTCAGGGAGAAAGGGAGAGGGAGAGATAGAAGCATTAAAGATGAGGGAGAATCCTGGATCTGCTGCCTCCTGCACACCCCACACTGGGGGTGGAGCCCACGACGCAGGCCTGTGCCCTGACCTGGAATCAAACTGACCTCCTGGCTCATAGGTTGATGCTCAGCCCCTGAGCCAGGCCTGCCGGCTGTAAGTCCTAAATTAACACTGTGAGGAAAACAAGTGACAAACGCAAACCCACTGCTGCGGCCGGACTCCATGGCCCTCGGACCAAGCTCTGCCTGGACACCTCCCTCCAGGAGGGCCGCTGGCCCTGCTGGGAGGCCTTCGCCTGAGACCGAGGGCCAGGGGTTTCCCTGCACTTCGTTAGCCCCAGGGTGGTGTACTTGGGGATCCTTGATGCTTTTTTCTACCTTTTACACGAGGCACATGTAGAACCAGCAGTGCCTGCTGTCCTAGACCATCAGGAAATGTCTTTGTTTTTGTTTCCCTTTCCAGTCAGTGTACCTGCCTTCTGAGCCCCGTTATTTGTACGAGGGGGAGGGTGTCATTAGATGGTCCGGTGTCACACAGGCACAGTCCTAGCGTCGCCTTGTGACCGGCTAAGGCAGCGGCCAGCGAATGCTGATGGTCTCAGCCCGAAGGGGGCTTCTTGTGTGACGGGCTGCACCCTCTCGCTCAGGAGTTCCAGAAGGAGCTGAGCCAGTGGAGGAAGGACCCCAGCGGGAGCAAGAAGAAGCCCAAGTACTCCTACAAGACGGTGGAGGAGCTGAAGGCCAAGGGCAGGACCAGCAAGAAGCTCACCGCTCCCCAGAAGGAGCTTTCGCAGGTCAAGGTACGTGGGCCTCGACACTGGCCAGGATGGGGCGCCGGGAACAAAATGGCTGCAGCCAGCGGCCGCACTGGACAGCGCCTAAGGCCCCTGTGGGGCTCCGGCTCTTTCCCCCCGAATCCTGCTTTTCTCACTTGATGGCGGCCTGTTCCCTTCTCTCCGCTCATACGGTCATTAAGTTCCTGCTGTGCCGGCCTCCTCACGGCACCCACCTGCCTGAAGCTCACAGCCAGGGAGGTGTTCAGCTCCTGTGGGTGTCTCTTCGCTGCACAAGTCCACAGACGGCCGTGCTGTGACCGGTCCCCTTATTGCCAGACCTTTCCCTTTCCCCGGCTTGGTGTGGCTTGGCTTTTAGACAGGCTGGTCTGTGCAGAAAGCCGTGTCTTTGTTCCATCTTTGAGGGTAGATTCTCAGAAGTACAACCACCAGGTAAAGACCAGGCAGGTCTTTAAGGCTCTAACACTGGGGAGGGTTCAGGTGAGGGTGCCGGACAGCCCTCGGGGCAGAGCAGCACTGAAGTGCCTTTTTTTTTTTTTTAAAATATATTTTATTGATTTTTTTTATAGAGAGGAAGAGAGATAGATAGTTAGAAACATCGATGAGAGAAAACCATCGATCAGCTGCCTCTTGCACACCTCCTACTGAGGATGTGCCCGCAACCAATGTACATGCTCCTGACCGGAATCGAACCCGGGACCTTCCAGTCCGCGGGCCGACGCTCTATCCACGGAGCCAAACCGGTTTCGGCCAAAGTGCCCTTTTAAGAGCAGGTTCCATTGTGCGCGCTTCCCCGACCCGGGCCCTCCGCCCCCTCCGCTGTGCTCAGCAGCGCCTTTCCCCTGCAGCCCGTGCTCCCGGCCCTGTGTCTGCCTCACGGGCAGCAGTGGCGGTGCTAACCTGCCGCCTGCCCTCCCCAAGGTCATAGACATGACGGGCCGGGAGCAGAAGGTCTACTACAGCTACAGCCAGATCAGCCACAAGCACAACATCCCGGACGACGGGCCGCCGCCGCAGGCCCAGCAGCTGCCGCTGTCCGGCAAGGAGGCCAGGGCCCCGGGCTTCGCGCTGCCGGAGCTGGAGCACAACCTGCAGCTGCTCATCGACCTGACGGAGCAGGAGATCATCCAGAACGACCGGCAGCTGCAGTACGAGCGGGACATGGTGGTGAACCTGTCGCACGAGCTGGAGAAGATGGCGGAGGTGCTGGAGCACGAGGAGCGGGCCATCGCCAACCTGAGCGAGGTGCTGGAGCTGGTGGAGGGCTGCGAGCGGCGCATGCAGCCCGGCTGCAGCCACCCGCTCACGCTGGCCGAGTGCGCCCGCGTCTTCGAGACGCTGCAGGACAAGTACTACGAGGAGTACCGCATGGCCGACCGCGGGGACCTGGCCGTGGCCATCGTCTACCCGCTGGTGAAGGAGTACTTCCGGGAGTGGGACCCCCTCAAAGTGAGCCGCCGGGGACGCCGGCCCCGCCTCTGCCGGCCTGCGAGCGGGCGAGCTTGTCCCAGGGAGAGGGGGCCGCAGGGGCGCCGCTCAGCCGCTCTCCTCCCCGCAGGACTGCACCTACGGCACCGAGATCATCTCCACGTGGAAGGGCCTCCTGGAGAACGACCAGCTCCTGTCGCACGGCAGCCAGGACCTTTCGGCGGACGCCTTTCACAGGTGGGCGGGCCGCTGCCGCCTCCTGCCCCCTGCTGGCACTGCCTGCCTCCTGCCCCCTGCTGGCGCTGCCTGCCTCCTGCCCCATGCTGGCGCTGCCTGCCTTCTGCCCCCTGCTGGCGCTGCTGGGGACTTCATTCCTCAATCCTCACTTCACCCGCCGCTTGTCGAGTGTGTACTGGGGGTCATGCGTGGGCCAGGCTGACCCTGGGAGTGAAGCAGCCAGCCTCTGTTCCTAAGCAACTGGAAAAGGCAGACAGTGGAGAAGGCGTGCGCACACGAACCCAGCAGCAGGCATAAGGAAGGCGCGCCCCTCTCTGGGGGAGGTTTGAGGCAGAGGGCTCGGGGGACATTTAATCTGTAACCTGAGGGTGAGAGGTGTCTGCTGGGCAGAGCTCTGGGTGGAAGGTGTAGAACCCGCTACTGCAAGGGGCCGTGTGGGGGGGGCCATGAGCCCGTGTGACCCGGCAGCAACCCTGCCGGCAGGTGCCGCCGATCCTCCGGTCCCGAGGCTGGGCGGGCAGCTGGGCAGGAGGCGGCGGCGCAGGCGGGGCCCGGATGCCCATGGCCGCCTTTCTTGCTCCTGAGAAGCGGGGGTGGGGCCCCCGCGCCCGTGAGCCAGGCGGCGCCCCGCAGCTGCCCTCCTCCCCGCAGGCTGATATGGGAAGTCTGGATGCCGTTGGTTCGCAACATCGTCAGCCAGTGGCAGCCGCGGGACTGCGAGCCCATGGTGGACTTCCTGGACAGCTGGGTGCACATCATCCCCGTGTGGGTGCTGGACAACATCCTGGACCAGCTCGTCTTCCCCAAGCTGCAGAAGGAGGTAGGCCGGAGCCCGGAGCCGCTAACGGGATGTCCGCACAGCTGCCGCCCATTAACTCAGCCGCTGCAGCAGCACGTGTCTCCCCGTCGCCCCCAACAGGGACCTCGTTAACTCGGTTTCTTAAAGTTAAAGCTGCCATTCCTGACACGTGATACGATTGCCTGGGAGCATGAATTTTACTTGGCTGCCTCTGTACCAAATGCGTCCCTCCATAAGAGACCCTGTGCCCCACACACATGCAAAGGGCTGGACCTTGGCCAAGAGCACCTGGCGGCCTCGCCATTCACCGCACGGCATGGTTTGACCCCCCCCCCCCTCCTGCAGGTGGAGAGCTGGAACCCCCTCACGGACACCGTGCCCATCCACTCCTGGATCCACCCGTGGCTGCCCCTCATGCAGGCGCGCCTGGAGCCGCTGTACTCGCCCATCCGCAGCAAGCTGTCCAGCGCCCTGCAGAAGTGGCACCCCAGCGACTCCTCCGCCAAGCTCATCCTCCAGCCCTGGAAGGACGTCTTCACCCCTGGCTCCTGGGAGGCCTTCATGGTCAAGAACATCGTGCCCAAGCTGGGTGAGGACGCGCGGAAACCAGCCCAGCCGGCGGCCTTGGTTTCTCCGGGCCACTTAGCGGCTGGGCTTCTCAAAACCAGGCCTCAGCCACATCAGCACAACCCTTCTCACTGTAACAGGGGCTGCTGCTGTGCACCGAGGCCGGATATAAACCAGACCGGGCCCTTAGGGCGGTGCTGACCACGTCAGACTGGTCTCAGCTTCTGGGAACAGGACGCCGTCGGTGTCCTGAACGTCCATGGGGTTTGATTCTGGCTTAGAGGGGAAAGTGCCTTTAAGGCAGACCACACACGGGCCCTCAGGGGAAGCCCCTCTCGGCGGCGGCGGCGGCTTTGCCTGAGCCCGGCTTTCATTGCAGGCATGTGCCTCGGGGAGCTGGTCATCAACCCCCACCAGCAGCACATGGACGCCTTCTACTGGGTCATCGACTGGGAGGGCATGATCTCCGTCTCCAGCCTGGTGGGGCTGCTGGAAAAGCACTTCTTCCCCAAGTGGCTCCAGGTACCTGTGTGGCCGGGGGTGTGTGTGTGTGTCCCTGAATCCTTGGTGCCTGTGACTGCAAGACAGAAACGAGCTACATGGCCGGAGAGGAGCGAGTTACACGTGTGCCAGATGCTCAGAGCGCTTTATTGCCTTTCTCTGGGGCAGGGACCGACCCCGGCTGTGTACACAGGAGGCGGAGCCCAGTTCACCTGCCAGGCCCTGAGCTATCAGCTGCCTCCACGTCCCACTTCGGAGGGCCTGGCTCTCAGCCCCACAAGCGGCGCCAGCTTGTAGGACCAGGATTAGCAGCAAAGGCCCCTGTAGGTGTTTGCTCCCATTTGTTGCCACTTTGGATGCAGGTTTCTTTTTTTCTTTTTTTAAAATATATATTTTATTGATTTTTTACAGAGAGGAAGGGAGATAGAGAGCTAGAAACATCGATGAGAGAGAAACATCGACCAGCTGCCTCTTGCACACCCCCTACCGGGGATGTGCCCGCAAGCAATGTACATGCCCTTGACCGGAATTGAACCTGGGACCTTTCAGTCCGCAGACCGACGCTCTACCACTGAGCCAAACCAGCTTCGGCGGATGCAGGTTTCTTATTGTTCCTCTCCGGCAGGTGCTGTGCTCCTGGCTCAGTAACAGCCCCAACTACGAGGAGATCACCAAGTGGTACCTGGGCTGGAAGTCCATGTTCTCCGACCAAGTGCTGGCACACCCCTCCATCAAGGACAAGTTCAACGAGGCGCTGGACATCATGAACAGGGCGGTTTCCTCCAACGTGGGTGAGTGGGGTTCTGCACACGGAACAGACCCCGAGGCTTCAGGTCCCCGTGGGCAGCAGACTCCCTCCTGACACGGCGACTCCCTGTGGAGGCAGATTGAAGCAGGCTTCACACGGGTCACCCCCAGGCCCACCCCCATCACCACTGCGCCGTGCGCCTGCTCAGCCAGCGCTGGGTGCTCCTTAAGCGTAGCTCACAGCGTAGAGTCAGGACATAGTCTGACTCTTTGACCAGCGGTCGCCAGCCTTTCGGACCTCATGGACCGCTGGTGGCGAGCACTGTCTCAGACCGTGTTCTTTACTGTGCCACAGTGACAGCACCTGCCTCGTAGCTGTGACTGAGAACTAGAGGGATTGAGTCACTGGGGCAGGTGTCTGCTGTGCCAGAAGCGGGCGGCTGAGTGTCCATCTAATGTCTGCCCCCCTGCGCTCAGGTGGAGGGGAGCCCTCACCAGTCCTGTCACAGAGCTCACACTCACAGCACCTATTCTCGCTCCCAGACACCACCACCAAGGCCGAGAGCCGCTTCAGGATCACAGCGCTGAGGAGGGGCAGCCGTGACACGAGAGCAGCTCTCACAGCTCATTAATCAGAGCTGCTCGATGAGGAAATACGCTGAAATCTGCTCTCGTGCCTCAGCCGCCCCTCCGGGGCCTGTGGGTCACCCCTCCTCACCCCTGCCCTCTCCCCAGGCGCCTACATGCAGCCCGGAGCGCGGGAGAACATCGCCTACCTCACCCACACGGAGCGGAGGAAGGACTTCCAGTACGAGGCCATGCAGGAGCGGCGCGAGGCCGAGAACGTGGCCCAGCGGGGCGTCGGCGCGGCCGCCAGCTCCGTGCCCATGAACTTTAAGGACCTCATCGAGACCAAGGCCGAGGAGCACAACATCGTCTTCATGCCCGTCATCGGGAAGCGGCACGAGGGCAAGCAGCTCTACACCTTCGGCCGCATCGTCATCTACATCGACCGCGGGGTGGTGTTCGTGCAGGGCGAGAAGACCTGGGTGCCCACCTCCCTGCAGAGCCTCATCGACATGGCCAAGTAGGCGCGGCCCGGCGGCGGCGGCTCACGTTTCCGACTAAACCTTTGGAGCCGCCTTTGAAAGAGTCACTTCAGGCCCCACGGCAGGTGTGAAGTGTGATAAGGTATTTGAGAGAAGTGCATACAACTTAACTTCACCCCCAGTTCTTCCACAGCCTGTCCCCTCTCCCCACGAGAGCCGGCTGAGGGCTCCCTGCGCTCTCTGGAACTGGCACTGGGGGGACGCGAGTCCCCGCAGCCCCTCCATGGCCGCCTCCCCCAGTCCTGGCGCCGCTGCTGCCTCCGCCAGCACTTCCTACGTCACGGCCCTGCCTGGCCGGCAGCTGAGGCACCTGCCTGGCTCCTGATGATCTCGAGGTCCTCGCAGTCCCGGTAATCGGGCTCTTCCCGAGATGCCCAGGTGTCGGCGGGGAGCTGCTGTAGCTTCTGGACTGGGAACCAGTGCACAGAGGTGTCATTGAACACGTCCGAGTACTGTGCCGTCTGGGGCAGTGCCTGCTCCTCCAGGCCGCCTAAAACCTGAGCAGACAGTCCCAGTGAGCATGTGGCCCCGGTGGGCAGTAAGCCCCTCTGCTTTCGTTAGCCTCCTGCCCCCCAGCCCGGCCTGCACGTGTAAGGCGCACCCGTCCCCACCTCAGTCCCTCGGTCAGGCAGATACCTGTGCAACATAGGCATAGTTTTTCTGCAGAATCCTTGTCAACAACCTGTAAATAAAAGGTTTTTAACTCATGATTAGGAGGTACAGAGTGGTTTTATCCAGCTGAAGGCAAGGTGACTTAAACATGGTAAGAATGTAAAATGGGATGTGGAGAAGGTATTCCGCAGAAAATGAATGTCCCAGTAACTGCACCCGCTTCATCAGGGGCCATGACAGCAGAGGTGCCGCGTGGGGAACAGAGGCGGCCATGTGGTTTCTCCCCGCTAACACCCTGCCAGCCTGAGGGAAGGGAGGGACGCCTGGCAAGGACTCTAAGTTGCTTCACAGCTGACTCAGGGTGGCATCTCTCTCTGGCCCTCCGTCCAGTTTCTTGGTCCTTTTCCGAGGACTAGGCCGCCCCTCAGGGCCTTACCTCTCCTCCAGGCCGCGGAAGCTGTTGCCAATGACGACCATGTTGGAGAGGGCGTCAGCGGACCAGTTGCTCCACAGAAGGTTGTTGTACAGGGCGGTCCCGCAGTGCAGCATGTAGAAGATGGTGGGCTCGCCACACACACTCCGCTTCCCTTCCTGAAGAACAGCCAGCGGTAAACACTGCTCAGCACAGGGAGGGCCAGACAGACCGGCCAGAAGCCAAGGATCCTCAGCGCGCGCACGCACGCACACACACACACACAGTGTGGTTATGAGGTGGCAGTGTTGGCCTTACTGTGTTGTCATCCTGCAGCATACGGGTATCACACTGCACCTTAAACCTGAAAAGGCTCTCAGCAGTTATACCCACACAGCGCAAGCGCAGGACACAGTGAGCGAAGAGGAAAGCAAACGGAAGTCTGAAGGTAACAGCGTGTGTCCCACTAACAGAGAGCACTGGCTCAACGACAGGGCCTCTTGGTCCATGCAAGCAGGGGCGTGAGGGCGGCAACAGTTACTGCCCCTGTGCTGGCTGGTGTCGCTTTCTGCAGGTCCTACCACAACGGAGCCCTTTCCAGACGCCCTCTTGGGGACTACCACTCCGCAGCCAAGCTCCTGGCAGGAAACCCAAGGCCAGCGCCGGCTGCCTGGCCTGGCTGCCTGGCCCGGCTACCTCTGGCCCCCTCTGCGCTCCTGGCAGCTCCCTCCTGTCCATACCGGGCAGCGGGTCCTGAACAGCCAGCTCTGCATGGGCTGCCTGCGACCCTAGGCCTGTTCCCTGGCAGACTCCTGGCTGACCCTCAAATCCCAGCTCCGGACCCACGAAGCTGCCTCCATCCCCGCAAAGAAAACGGTCTCCTTCCCCTCTCTATTCCTAGCACGTGGCTCTGCCTCCCTGTCTGACTCGTTTACTTGTCTGCAGGCCGCCTGCCCTGATGTGGCCGTGGGCTCCCTGAACACAGGGACCGGCTCCTGTCTGCCGTGGCTCCCAAAGCTCCTTGTTAGGCAGAGCAGGCTCTCAGAAAAGACGATCTGGATTAAACGGCCGTGCTGTGGGAGCTTGCCAGCGCCCGCAAACCATTCTGTCTCAGCTGGCCTAATCTCCATAGTAAGCACTGAGATGGCAGTTTCTCCAAACAGAGAGGAACCCAGCGATTATTTATAATCCCCAAGACAACACAGAACTAAGCTCAGAGGTATTCGCCTCGAGTGGCTTCAGTCCTCCGCTTGTGAAATTCCCTTTTGCCAGGCCTCAAGAATTTTCCAGTCCCAGCGATTTTGGGGGGCGCGGGCGGACAGGCTTCACCCACAGCTCAGCCAGGTGCGATGGGAACGGCTGACTACAGCTCCCAAGAGGGGCCCTCTGTCCCCTTTCATTGCCTCCCTGGGAACAGGATCAAGTCCAACCCGAAAACCCACATTAGAGGCACTGAGTCTGTGTGACCTTTTAATATTTCAATAGCAACCGTAAATGCCAACTGAGCAAAATTTCTGGACACACACACTCCTAACATTTCTGGTTCATGCCATTTGTGTAATTCACTTTTCTCTGATGGACACAACAGTCAAAACGCGGGTAATTGGGCACACGCACAGGCATTGGGAAAGCAACAAGAGAAGGACTGCCGTTTCAAAAAAAAAAAAAAAATCGCATCGCATCCTCGGGTCAGAGCCTGAGATCAGCGGGCCAGCAGCTTCCCTAGCGCCACACTCACCTCGTTCTCCCCGAGGACAGTCACCCCGAGGGCGGTGAGCACTGCAATTTCCAGCCGGCTAAACAGAGGGTCATACACCCAGCAGTGACTCCTGGGGATCTGCGGGGGGGGGGGGGGGCGCAAGGCGTCATTTCACCAAATGCCTGTGTGCCCGCCGCGGGTAAGACCGAGGGAGGGGCGGCGAGGAGGAGTCCACATGTACCTGGCACTCTTCCAGGAAGAGAAGCAAAAACGCTAGCTGGTTTCTGGCGATGACGCAGGTGGCAAAGCTCCCGACGCCGTAACACACACACTTCCAGCCGCGGGCCCCCGGGGCCAGGCTGGCTCTCGGGCCGCGGCCGGGAGCCGCCCCCGAGCCGGGGGGTGATGAGTCGAGGTGCAGGCTCCCAATGGCTTCCGGCAGGGTCCCCGCAGGGGCATCCAGCTGTCCCAGATGTCTCATAAGGCATCTGTTGATGGTTTCTGAAAGAGCAGGCCCCCAAACGCAGTCAGAGCGACCCCGTGACCCCGATCACCCATAGAGCAGCCCGCAGGCAGGGAGCAAGGAGCAGGGCAGCAGCGGCCTCAGCCCCCTCCACTCCCACATCCCAGGACGTGCCGCCGTGTCCCCGGAGCTGACAGGCTGTCCCCGGACCCCCGCAGCCTACAACCCCAGAGAAGGGTTTGAGAAGAAATCGCTTGTATTTACGGGCACAGTTTCAATCTAAAACACGAATGTAAGCTCGTTCTAGTTTAATAGGCGGGCCCTGGTAAACTCAGGTTCTGCCTTGAAATTCCTTTTTTATTTTATTATGATGAAGAACAGAGGAGCAGAGCTCTTAATATCACACTATAAATGGCAAAGAGTAGGAATATTTAAGGTGTAAAAAAAAGGGGAGGGGGGAGGCCTGAGCCAGTGTGGTTCAGTGACTGGGCATCAATCCATGAACCAAGAGGGACATGCTGGGATTCCAGGCTTGACCCCCAGTAGGGGCTGTACTGGAAGCAGCCTATCCGTGAGGTTTCTCTCTCATCGATGTACCTATTTCTTCTCTCTCTCTCTCTCACTTCCTCTCTCTCTAAAGAGCAATAAAAACATTTTTTAAAAAGGTAGGCTGGGCTTGTGGAGTAACAAAAAGCACTCTCTCTAACCCTCACAGGGAGGTGGGTACTGTCTCTCTCCTTCATGACACTGGCACTGAGTTTATTTACACAAATCTGTATGCAAAACATTGCAAACTTATAATTAAAAAACAAATAAAACAAAATGTCCCTTAATAGAAAAGATAACCACTTAAGACCACTGTTAAGTCCACTCCATGGGTCAATATTTATGTTCCCATACACAATGTTAGGAAGACAGTATAACCCCCTCGGGGGGAGGGGAGGGGTGTGTGTACATTGCAATCTCAGGGAAAAAGAGCAGGGAAACACCAATCAGCCACAATGGCAATGACAGCTGTTACCATTCTAGGCCCTAGAACAGCCTCACGTAATCTGCACAGTCCCCCTCCAGGACATGCTTCACCATCTCCATCTCACAGAGGAAGCAGCTCAGGGTCAGAGTTAAGAGCCAAAAGCGCGCAGCTGTAAGGCGTTATAATTAGAACCCACCGGTGCACCACCCCATAAAGCAAAACGGCACCCAATGAGGGTGGATTCCTTCCTTTGCCCATATTCAGGCCCCCTCGCCCCCCGCCCCCCGCCCCCCTCAGCCTTGGATAGGTGTACTCACCCAGTGCTGAGCTCCAGAAATCAGAAACTCGCAGGTCTTCCCTGTGGGGAAAAAAAAGGAGGTGAGGTCATCTTCCATTCTTCTCAGGGGGGCCCTAACAGTGACCCCCACCCCACTGTCCGTCATCTGGATGTGGGGAGCATGATGCGGACGCAGAGCCCACCCTGAGTGACAGGAGGAGGACACACACGAACATGGTAGAGCAGAGCACGTGCTGTCGGGGCTCAGGGAGAGCAGCACAGAGGGCTTCCTGGAGGAGGCCACACACTGGAGTACGAGCCCACAACCCGGGCATGTGCCCTGACTGGGAATCAAACCCGGAACCCTTCAGTCCACAGCTGACACTCTACCCACTGAGCAAAACCGGATAGAGCATAAAAAAAATTAAAAAAAAATTAACAATGTAAGCATTAAATAAATGGGGGGGAGGGGGGGGAGGAAAAGTCTCAAATAAACAGCCCAACTTCACATCTCCAGAAACTAGAAACAGAAGGAAAAGCTAAGCCAGAGTTAGTAAAGAAAGGAAATAACAAAGACTAGAGCCTAAATAAATGAAATACACACAGAGATATTAACACACACCACCGAAATACAAAGTCGCCTCAGAAGAGACTACTAACAATTATATGCCAACAAACTGAACCAACTATAAGAAATGGACAAATTTGTAAAGCATACAACCATCCTAAACCAAATCATGAAAAATTGGAAAATCTGAACAAACTGATCCCTCGAAAGGAACTTGGAACAGAAATCAAACACCTGGCAACAAACACAATTCCAGGACCAACTGGCCTCACTGGTGAAGTCTACCAGCATTCAAAGAAGATTGAACACCTATTCTCAAACTTTTCCCCAAAAAATGAAGAGGCAGTGCTTCCTAACTTACATTCCTAACTTATAGAGGCCAGTGTTACTCTATACTAGCACCAGGCAAGGTCAAAACACACACACACACACACACACACACACACACACACAAATTATAGGCCAATACCGTTAAAAAGCACACTATCAGTATATGCAAAAATCCTAAATAAAATACTAGCAAGTCAAGTACAACAATACATCAAAACGATCATACACCATGCTCCAGTGGAATTCATTCCAGTGATGCAATGATGATTCAACATCGGAAAATCAATGAACCTGATACACCATATTAATAAGACATAAAATAAATCATATGACAATATAGGTGCAGAAAAAAACATCTGACAAGATACAACATGCAATTATGATTGAAAACTCAATAAAATGGCTCTGGAAGGAAAGCATTGTAACATAATATGGCTCTATATGACAACCCCCACCTGGCATCATACTCAATAAAGAAAAACTCAAAGTTTTTCTTCCAAGTCAGTGGTTGGCAAAACATTAGTCAACAGAGCGGCAAACCGCGGCTCACAAGCCATGTGTGGCTCGCGAGCCGTGATTTGCCGACCACAGCTCTAAGATAAGGAATAAGGCAAGGATGCCCAATGTTTTTCAACACAGTATTGATAGTCCTTGCAATTAGGCAAGAAAAAGAAACAAAAGACATCCAAATTGGAAATGAGGGATTAAAACCATCACTATTTGCAGATGACATGGTATTTATATATATATAAAATCCTAAAGACGCCACCAACAAACTAATAAACGAATTCAGTAAAGTTGTAGGATACAAAAATATGCAAAAATCTATTGGTTTCTATATACTGACAATGAAGTATCAGAAAGAGAAATGAAGAAAACAATTCCACTTGAAATCGCAACAAAAAGAATAAAGTACCTAGAAATAAATTTAACAAAGAAGATAAAAAGGACCTGTACACAGAAAACTGTAAGACACTGTTGAAAGAAACTGAAGATGCAGAAATGGAAAGGTATTGCATGTTCATAAATTGGGAGAATTAATATTGTTAAAATATCCATATTACCAAAAGCAATATACAGATTTAAGCTAATCCTATAAAAAAAAATCCAATGGCATTTTTTACAGAAATAGAACAAATAACCCTCAAATTTGCATGGAGCCACAAAAGACACCAAGACACCAAAAAAAAAAAAAAAAAAAAAAAAAAAAAAAAAAAAAAAAAAAAGCAATCCTGAGAAAAAGGTACAAAGCCAAAGGCATTACGTTCCCGGATTTGAAACTATACTACAAAGCTAGATCATCAAAACAGTATGGTATTGGCAGAAAAATAAACACACAGAACAATGGAACAGAGTTGAGAGCCTAGAAATAAACTCACCCATTTATGGGCACTAATTTATACCCAAAGAGTCAAGAATATACAATGAAGAAAGAAATGCCTTTTCAATAAATGCTGATGAGGCCACTATCTTATACCATACACAAAAATGATCTCAAAATGAACTAAAGATTTGAATATAAGAGCTGAAAAAAATAAAATACATAGAAGAAACATTGACACCAGTTTCTGGACATTGGTCCGAGGTCTTTTTGTGAATTTGACTCCAAAGGCAAAGTAAGTAAAAATAAACAAACAAACAATGAGACTACATCAAACTAAAAAGCTTCTGCACAACAAAAATAAACAACAACAAAACAACCCATCCACGAAACAAAAAGGCAAGCAATGAATGAGAGAAGATATTTGCAAATTCTACTTCCAATGAGGGATTAATATCCAACATATATAAAGACTTCATACAATTTAACAACAAAAATACAGAGTATCTGAACAGACATTTTCCCAAAGACATACAAATGGCCAACAGGTACATGAAAAGATGCTCAACATCATTAGTCAAATGCAAATCAAAATCACAATGAGATACCACCTCACAGCTGTTAGAATAAGACACTAGTGTTAGTTAGCAAGGATCTGGAGAAAGGGGAACCCGCTTGCACTGTTGGTGGGAATGTAAACTGGTGCCCTGACACTATGCAAAAACGCGAAGGTTTCTCAAACAATTAAAAATAGAACTATCGTCCAAACCGGTTTGGCTCAGTGGATAGAGCATCGGCCTGCAGACTGAAGGGTCCCAGGTTCGATTCGGGTTAAGGGCATGTGCCTTGGTTGTGGACACATCCCAGGGTGGGGGTGGGGGGGGGGGTATGGGAGGCAGCTGATTAATGTTTCTCTTTCATCGATGTTTCTAACTCTCTATCCCTCTCCCTTCCTCTCTGTAAAAAAAAAAAAAATCAATAAAATATATAAAAAATAAAAATAGAACTATCACATGATCTTGCAATTCCACTTCTGGGTATTTATCCAAAGAAAGCAAAAACACTTATTCAAAAAAGACATGTGCACCCCCATGCTCACTGCAGCATTACATACAACAGCTAAAATCCAAAAACAACCTGCGTACGTGTCCCTCGATGGAAAAATGGATCAAGATGTGACAAAATAAAAAACAAATTAAACAATGCGGCCATAAAAAATAAAATCTTGCCATCTGTGACAACAGATGTTGGATGTTCTTTGAGGGTATTATGCTAAGTAAATGAGTCATACAGAGAAAAACATACGTATGATTTCACATATATGTAGAATCTAAAAGAACAAATACAAAACCACTGAGCTCATACAGAGAACAGATGGTGGCTGCCAGAGGCAGAAGGGTGGCGGGGGTTGGGATGGGTGTGAAATGGGTGAAGGGGGTCAAAAAAACTGAATCACAGGTTTGGGAGTTGCAAAGCCATGGGGTTGCAATTTGGTTCCATGCATTACCTGTGTCTCAGTCAGGCCCCCAGGATTGCAGTGTGGAGGCCCGGATGTTCAAATGGATCAAGTGTGGAGCATGCTTAACCAAGTGCCAGGCACAAAGCAGCTCAATTAAAACACCAATCAGAAAGGACATATGCACCCTTTTGTTCACAGCAGCACAATTTACAAAAGCTAGGATTTGGAAACAGCCTAGGTGCCCGTCAGCAGATGACTGGATCCAAAAACTATGGTACATCTACACAATGGAATACTATGCTGCCATAAAAAAGAAGGAATTCTCATCCTTTGCAGCAACCTGGATGGGATTGGAGAACATTATGCTGAGTGAAATAAGCCAGTTAGTGAAAGAAAAACACCACATGATCTCAACTCATTTATGGATAATAAAGAACATTATAAACTCAGGAACAAAAAGATTCGGAGATAGTAAAGCAACAAACAGACTGTCAAATTATAGCGGGGAGGGTAGGAGGATATGGGGGAGAAAAGAAATCAACCAAAGGACTTGTATGCACGCATATAAGTACAACCAATGGATGCAAAACTCTGGGGAGGGAGGGCATGGTAAGATATGTACACATATAACACCTTAATAAAAAATGGAAAAATAAAATAAAATAAAATAGATCTTTAAAAAAAAAAAAAAAGCACCTCAATTAGCCGATGATCCTCATGAAAATTACTACCACGTGTTCGTGTTGCTTCCCAGGCACTTTAGCAAAACCCAACACGGCGTTAACATTGTTAACACCACAAACTCTGGTGCTGCGTTTCCCACGCCCAGTGCGGAGGCACCGTTCCAAATGGCTTACATTTACTAATCCACCGAGTCCTCCAAACAAGCCTCTAAGGTAACTTTTTAAAATACCTATTGCTTATTGATTTTTTTACAGAGAGGAAGGGAGAGGGGTGGAGAGTTAGAAACATCGATGAGAGAGTAACATCGATCAGCTGCCTCCCGCACACCCCCCACTGGGGATGTGCCCGCCACCAAGGCACATGCCCTTGACCGGAATCGAACCCGGGATCTTTCACTCCGCAGGCCGGGGCTCTACCCACTGAGCCACACCGGTCAGGGCCACAGGTAACTTCCCGTGCCCACCTCACAGATGAGAACACTGAGCCACAGGCGTGACATAACTCGCCTCCGCCAGACCCTCGCCAACCGCCTCCCCGCGGGATCCCCTGACCCCCGCTTTCCACAGGGGAGACTGAGGCTCGGAGGGAGTCCCACAGGCGCGGAGGCTGACCCGCCACTCACCTGGCCTCCCGGATGCGGCGAAGCACGACTCCGCCGTCCACGTCGGGATCCGCCTCGGGGTCCCCGGCCGCCGCCGCCGCCGGCCTCTGCCTGTGCCGCGGCCGCCGAGCCGCTGGGCGCCTCCTCCGCGGAGCCGCCGGCCGCCAGGGCTCCGCCGCCTCCGCCGCCGCCGCCATGGGCCGCTGACGTCACGGGAGCGCGACGCGCTCAGGCTACGTCATCACCGCGCGCCGGGCCCGCGGAGCCTTTAGGGGGCGGGAGGCGCCGGCAGCGCGTGATCCCGGGGCCGCTCTGCCGCGCGCTTAGGTACGGGGTCGGGGGGATTGGGGGGCGGAGGGTTCGCTGGCGCCCCGCTGCCGCCTGCGCTCCGGATCCCGAACCCCGATCTTCGGGCTGCCGGGCTTTTCTGGCGGGCGGGCAGCGCGGGGGCTCAGGGGAGGGCCCCAGGGCCCCCCATGCCTTTGCCAACCAACTCCCAGCCCCCTGCGCCGAGGCCAGACACTCCCCCGGCCCTAGCCGGTAACCGATCGCTTCCTGCCCCGCTGACCTGCTGAGGCCGCTTCCTACACCACCGCCGCCGCCACCACCCTCGGGTCATAGCTGGCAACTCTTTGACTTCCTGGGTCGTTGCTGCCACTTCCCAGGCTGCCTGCGCCTTCTGTGGTCACATTCCAACCCCTGCCCTACCCCAGGGCCAATACCGGCCTCTTGTGGACCTTTCAGAGATAAGAGAGGGGACTTGGCAGTGTGGGGCCCAGTCCCCCGGGAGCAAGGGGATAGGGGGTTTCAGGCCGCTGTCCTTGGTTCCGAGAGCTTAGATGCCTCTCCCCAGGCATCCAGATATGCTTCCAAGAAACCATGAGCGTGATCCTATGGAGGCCCACCCCAAGATATTGAGAGTTGAGGAAAGATTAGAGATTGTGCAGGCCATCAGTGGGGTCCTCTCTAGGGACATCTCTCTACCTAAGGAGCTTTAAAAAACTCCATGGTGCTCCCAGGATGAGGACAGACGGTGAGCAAGCATTTGGAACCATGTCCCCGAGGGCATTCGTCTTGTAGAAGGTGACAGTAGGCATACAATTTGGATGGACCAACTTGTCTTGTGGAAGGAATATAGGCCTCGTGTAATTTTCCTGGACAGTGTTATGCAGAACTGTGTGTAGAGGCTACCGGGAGGCCAGGTTAGCTTAGTGGAAGGATCAATTTAACAGTATGAACTCCCTATCTCTGGAGGGAATAAGCAGACAGTCCAGGTAGTTTTTTTTTATTGGTTGATTGATTTGAGAGAGAGAGAAACACCCACCGGTTGCTCCACCCACTCATTGGTTGCCTCTTGCATGTGCCCTGACTGGAGATGGAATCCAAATCCTCGGTGTATCATGGTGACTGTTGTAATCAAATGAGCTACCTAGTTAGGGCCGGTGGAGGGGATTTTTCCTGCCCCGCTGACCCACTATCTAGAGATCAGGATTAGAGTGAATGGTGCCAGGGTCCCACCGTTCAGACCCTGCAATGCCCTGGTGGTCTGAGTTGTCTCCTGGTGGGAGGAGCTTGAAAGCCACTTACCTGTTAATTTCTCTCTGCAGCAGAAACCGGTTTGGCTCAGAAAAGTCCCGGGTTCGATTCCAGTCAAGGGCATGTACCTTAGTTGCGGGCACATCCCCAGTAGGGGGTGTGCAAGAGGCAGCTGATCGATGATTCTCTCTCATCGATGTTTCTAACTCTCTATCCCTCTCTGTAAAAAAATCAATAAAAAAAAAATTTAAAAAAAAATTCTCACTGCATCTTTTGGAAACTTGCCCAGCTCTGGACTTCCACATGTTCGGGTTACTTCTGAGCTGTCATGGGGACAATTCCTTAATTTGAGTCCCATTATTACTACAGCAACTGCCTCCTTGACACCAGAGCTTCTTAACGGTTTCTTCCATGAGACGTCACTGTTCAAGAACTAAAGGATATGAAGTCCTGCTACCCTCTCTCTCTCTCTCTCTCTCTCTCTTTTTTTAAACTGTTTTTGACTTTCTAGAAAGCTCTTTTGAAGTCTACCATTTGCTTAACCACGCTGGGTCACATGCTCTTTTTGTGGGTTTCAGAGATAATCTATTCCTTGTGTTTATTTTAGGCTAAGGCACTGATGTTTGAACAGGAAGCTTCAAAAAGTTTAAAAGCGTCTTCAGAATGGCTTTAAAGCACACAGGCTAGAAATCGCCCCAGAACAGCGCCTTCAGCAGTGCATCTCCCCTGTCGCGCTTCCCTGGACAGCTCTTTGGCGGGGTCATTCTGCAGAGAGCTGATGCTCACGGGGCCAGATGAGTGGCGCTGGCTTTTTTGGTAGAACTCTCTGGCTTTATTCTATTCTCTCCCAGGGTTCCCAGAGGCATCCATGGCACTGAAGGGCTTGCCAGGAGGGAAGTGGCACTTTCACGTTGAATAAAAACAAAGCAAGTGACAGTTGGGACCAAAAACACTTCAGACCTCCCGCGTCTGGCCTCCCTGGATCGGGGACACAGAGGCACAGTCCCTGCTGGGGAGGAAGAAGCCATAACTGGAAAAGAAAATCCAAGTAAAGAGGATGCGAGCCACCTGAAAGTAAATGGCCGCCTCAACAGAGAGGAAGTCAGCCTCCTGGTGAGTAGCAAGGCCTGCTGGGGCTTAAGTTCCTGCCAGGCTGCCGGACTGGTATTTGGGTTAGCTGAACATCCCCAGCCAGATTGTCTTGATTTTATTAAGGAAAAAAAAAGGGAGGGGGGAGCCGATTTCCTTCAGAGCAGCTGAGTCCAACAGGTGAGCCGTTTCCCACCAAAGCTGGTGTGTGGTAACTTTGCAAGCTTCTTGCAGTGTTCCAGCGAGGCGAGCATTGTTGCTAGATTGCACAGATGATAATCGTGCCTGATCATGCCTCCGGCTCTGATGATAACGTGGGCGTTGGAGCCCTCACTTTTGAAAGTTAAATGGCTGCGCTGCTGAATTACACCATGAGAAGGGGCGTGGCCAGGCTTCAGTTGAGTCTGAAACACACTGGGGGCTTTCTGATCTGGACCTGCCCTGACGCCAGTAGCGCATCTGGAACTCAGGAAGGCGGGCGGGACTAGAAACTGAGTCAGTGCTTGCGATCAGAAAGATAAGGTGAGAGCCAGAGAGGGGGATAGGGAGGGGGTTCAGGGGGAAGAGCACAGGTGACAGCGAGTCACAGCTCCTCCTCCTTATGCTCTAACCTGACAGGTGAGTATACAAAGGTTTGGAAGTAAAACTCAGGCAAGCCTTTGTGGAGTTTGCCTTGCGATCTTAAAGAGGTGGTTATAATTATACTAGAGGCCTGATGCACGAATTCGTGCATGGGTGGGGTCTGGCCGGCCCGCCCCAATCAGAGGGCCCATCAGGGGTGAGACCAGCTGGGGGGAGAGGGCCACGGGTGGTTGGCTGGCTGGCCCCGCCCACTGGTCGAACTCCGGGTCCAGGGGACAATTTGCATATTAGTCTTATATAGGATGGCAGAGCAGACTATAAGACTAGGGAGAACAGCGGGTTATGGAGATTGAGAAGAGGGATTCCTCTGGGCATCTGCCCTTTGATGAGGGATCGTGTGTGAGTTAATCCTCGTCAGGTTTTGTAGGCAGAGAGGGGCCCGGTGCTTCTCTGTGACCTTTAAAGGGCCCCGTTTTCCCTGCCTTGAAACATGCAGTTTATTTCCTCCCTTTATCGCCCGGGGCCCAGCACACACGTAGGCCTTGGTGATATTTGTTAAATGAAATCTAGGGACCTGTGGATTCGTTTAGAAGGGCTATTTCAGGAGATGGCTGTGCCCAGCTGTGCGGAGTGCTTCTGAGACGTTCTGACTCACTTGGGGCCTGGAAAGACAGTTTACCAAACCGTGTGGTTAGCAGTTCAAGCTCCACAGCTCCAGTAAGAGGCGCCGCTGTGGGCTCCCCTCTTTCCTGTCTTCCTCACAGATGGTCGGCCTGCTGGGTAGAGGCATATTTTTAGTTCGACTCAAGTGCACTTAAGAAATGGCTTTATCTGTTTGCAGCCGCTGGGTTCTTCTTCCTGGGGGGCCAGCAGAGGCTTGGCAAACACCAAGGAATGAGCTCTGGCGGGCTGGGAAATGGGGGGCGTGCCTCCGGCTGGTCCCGGATAAAAGGCAATGGCTCTGCTCTGTTCTCTCGCCAGGTGGAATTATTTTTTCCTTTACGATGGTTCCAAGGTGAAGGAAGAAGGCGATCCGACGAGAGCTGGCATTTGTTACTTCTATCCTTCCCAGGTGAGCCACACAGCGTGCCACTGTTTCGTGGGCATCCACAGAGCAGAACGTAGGCCTCACCGTGGTGACTTTTCGGAAGTACAGGGTTTACATCGGGACAGCTTTCTGTGGATGACCCAGGCCCTTGATGCTTCTACTCTCTTAATCTTAGTCGTGGTAGTTCTTGTTCCGGTCTTTGAATTCCCAGGCAGCTCAGGGCTGCCATCTTACCTGGCTGGCTGGTACCAGATTTTCTGTCTGCCCCATGCTCCCAATTTTTGATCAGCTCGTTAAAAAAAACAACTTTTATTCAAACATACACAAAAGTATCAGAAACCCTTACATGTCTGTCACCAGCTTTAACAGTTATCAACACTTGGCCAATTCTTATGACCCAACCTAAACTCTCTGCCCTTTTATTCTTGGGGTATTTTGCAGCCAATCCTAGACACTGTGTTATCTCATCGGTATCAAGTAACCTCTCTAACCCAAAAGGACTTTTTTATTTAAAATCACACATAACAATAATTCCTTAATATCTCGGATAGTGTCTATATTCAAATTTTGCCCAATTACTTAGATGGGGCCTAGACCTAATTTCCTTCTCTCCTTCCCCCTTTCTCGCTCTTTTTCCTGATCAGGACCCAATCAAGGTACACTGTTTTATTTGGTTATTTTGTGTGTTGAGTCCCTTTTACCATGTAGCAGCCTTACCCACCCATCCCCTTTCCCGCTCTATCCATTGAGTTAGGAAGATACCAGGCCAGTCCTAGCCAGTTTGGCTCAATGTCGGCCTGCAAACTCAAGGGTCCCAGGTTTGATTCCGGTCAAGGGCATGTACCTTGGTTGCAGGCACATCCCCAGTAGGGAGTGTGCAGGAGGCAGCTGATTGATGATTCTCTCTCATTGATGTTTCTAGCTTTCTATCCCTCTCCCTTCCTCTCTGTAAAAAATCAATAAAATATATTTTAATAAAAAAAGAAAAGAAAAAAAAGAAACCAGGCCATTTGTGCAATAGAACGAGACCATGTTCCCGCTCTGGGTTTGCTGATGACTCCTTCCTGGTGGTGTCATTTAATGTCTTCTATCCACTGGGTTTCCTTTAAACCTGGGTGAAGGTCCAGAGCCTACGTGAGGTTCAAGTTCATTTCTTTTAGGCAAGAATTCTTCATAGGTGGTGTGTACATTTTCTGCTCATCACATAATGTTTGGCTGCCCCGCAGCTGAGTTAATGCTAAGAAATATTAAATTCACTCATGTGATTACCCTCTGACTTGGGTAATTGGGATTAATCTCGGCTGCTCTGGCCACTCTGCAGGGGATCTGAATAGAGTTGAAAGGCTCATGCTTCTCTCCATGCCGGGGGTTAAATTATAGGGTAAAATCCTAGGAAGAAAAATGCAGTTCTGTGGATCATCTGATGTGTTCACTGTGGGTGTTCAAGCAGGGGTCCACGGACTTTGTCTGAAAACAGCCAAGTATTTTAGGTTTTGTAAGAAGCCGCAGATGGTCCTCATCACATAGTCTTTGTTGTTGTTTTGACAACCCTAAAAAAAGATTCTTAGTTCACAGGCCATATAAAAATAGGCCGCCAACTGGATCTGGCCTGCAGACTCTGTCTGCTCTAAGGAATGACACGAGAATCCAGCAGTTTCAACTTCCTGTCTGGGATCTGCTGCTTTCCCATAGACCCTGCTTGACCAACAGGAGTTGCTCTGTGGCCAGATTGCTGGCGTGGCCCGCTGTATCTCTGACATCTCCGGCGCTCCTCCTACCCTCATTCGGCTGCGGAAACTGAAGTTCGCCATCAAGGTGGATGGAGATTACCTTTGGGTGAGTTTAGCAGGCAGGACCAGTGCCTCTCCCATGAGTCTTTGTCTGGGTGATAAGTATCGTGACTATAGGTTTAGGAAGCCTGTGTGCAAGAGGCAGCTGGTCGATGTTTCTCTCATTGATGTTTCTCTCTCATTGATGTTTCTAACTCTCTCTCTCTCTCCCTTCCTCTCTGTAAAATATCAATAAAATATATATTTTTTCTAAAAAAGAATAAGGTTCCTAGGACCATTCCTATATGAGTCTTTCTCATGGACATAAGTCTTCATTTCTCGTGAGTAAAGATCTTTGTACATGTGAGAATTCCGGGTATTTTACATCTTCGTCAGCACCAATGCTGGCAGATGTTTAATTTTAGCCATTCTGCCGGATGTGCCAGGGCAGCTCATTGTAGTTCCATTTCATTTCCCCAATGACTAATGGTATTAAGGCTTTTTCATGGGCTTAAGGCCATTTGTACATCTTCCTTTGCGAAGTGTGTACCCAAAGCTTTTGTCCATTTTGTAAATTGTTTTTTTCTTAACTGATTGTAGGGTTTTTTTTATATATATCCTGGATACAAGTCCTTTATCAGATACCTATTTTAGAGATATCTTCTCCCACTTTGCAGTACTCCTATTAATTTTCCTAATGATGCCTTCTGATGAGCAGATGGTTTTCATTTCAATGAAGTCGAATTTATCCATCTTCCGGTTATTGCTTTCTGCATCCTGTCTAAAACCGTTGCCTACCTCATTGGAGAAGATGTTCCCATTTTGGGGGGAAGTTTATAGTGTTCGCCTTTAAATGGGAGTCTGCAGTCCGTCTTGGGTTACGGTTTGTGTTTGGATGTGAAGGAGAGGTGAAGGGCTCTCTGGTTCCATACAGATACTCGGTGGTTTCAGCACCATTGTTGCAAAACTCCCTTCCCTCTTGGATCCTTCCCTGTTCGGCTCTTCTGTCAAAGGTCAGGGGCCACGTAAGCGAGGCTGTATTTCTGGATTGCCTGTCCTTCCATTGGTCTCTTTGGAATTGTGGGTCTTGGGGTAGGTATATATTAATTTTATAAGATCTCAGAAGTTAGCACACCTTCCTAAAATCAGGTAGGGTAAGTCATCCTACCTTTTTCTTTTGAAGTTAGCTTTGACCATGGCCGGTCCTGTGTGTTCCTGGAGTAGAATCAGTGTGTCATTTTCTAAAGCAAAACTAGTGGGGTTATGATCAGAATCGCACCTGATCTCTAGCTCAGCCGGGGAAGCAGCAGACTCTTAATCCGGGCCAGGTGGGGCACATCGGTGAAGCTCTAACTCTTGGGTTACATCAGGAAGAAAACAAAGGTCCTTGCCTCGGCGGAGCATAAGTTCAGGGGGAGTTTTTAAATGTTCCTTCCTGCCAGGGTTTGCTTGCTCCTTTGTTTAAGTGTCTGATGATTCCCTTAGGAAAGATTCCTCGAGATAGAATTGCTGAGTCAAAGAACATGAACTTCTTTCAGGCTCTTTGAACATATGGCGAGATGCTTTCCAGCGGAGTCTGTGTGTATGGAAGCATCCGGGAGCTCTGGGCGCGGGGATTTAGTAGTTTCGGTTCTCAGGGGGGAGGCGGGGCTCTTGGGGGAGCAGTTCGGCCCAGGGTTTGCAGTGACCCGGATTAGACCTTCAGTGTCCACATATCAGGCCTAAGATGCGCCGGGTCCGAAAAGAGGTCAGCATTGGCCCGGTGGTCAGGGCAAGCTGCGTGGAGGTGCTGGCATCTGGTGGGCACTGAAGGGATGAGGGCCCTGGCCAATGAGCAAGAAGGAGGGCATTTCAGGGTGGGCGATGTATCCATCGTTCTCTGCGGAGACCAGCTTGGCCGGAGTGGCGGGGGTGGGGATGGGCAGTAGGCCAGTTTCCATGGGCTCCGGAGTCTGGCTGCAGCGAGCCTTGGATGCAGGGATTCGAAGCCTGGAGTCAATACAGGAAATGCCTGTGTCCCCGCTTCCGTCCTTACAGGTGTTGGGCTGTGCTGTGGAGCTCTCCGATGTCAGCTGCCAGCAGTTTCTGCACCAGCTCATTGGATTTTTTAACTTTTACAACGGACCTGTCTCTCTGGCTTACAAGGTATCGAAGCACCTTCATGTGGCAAAACCGATATTGCCGGAACACAGCACTTACTCCAGGGTCTGTTCCATTCTACACAGACACACAGTGTCCAGCCACCAGGTCAGGGACTCTGGGAGCCCCTCTCAGATGCCTCTGTTCCCCAGTGGCGAGCGTCACATTCATTCCAAGAATTTACCTCCATCTCCTCCCCCAGGGTAGGTGGAAAGAGTGATGGGGAGGCTGTCAGGGTAGGAAGCTCATAGGAAGCTCCCCTCCCTCTGCCAGTTTCCGTGTGAGGAGTAAGTGGTGGTCGTTGGGATCCTTACCGAAGAGGTGTCTCTCAGAACCTCCGCTCCCGAGCTCAGGCTGTTTCTGTTTCAGAATTATTCTCAGGAGGAACTGAGCGCCGAGTGGGACACCTTCATTGAACAAATTCTGAAAAACACCAGCGATCTGCATAAGATCTTCACTTCCCTCTGGAACCTGGACCGGACCAAAGTAACTCTCTCCTCCCCCTTCTCCTGTCCCGTATGGGACTTGAGCTTGACACCTCTGTCTTTTCCCCTTGAAATGAACGACACAGCGAGAGAGGTGATGGATGTGCCATTTCTCGGTCACAGTGGTTAAGACCTGCACTAAATTCCATGGTGCTGCTCACCAGCTGTGTGAGCCTGGACAAATCAAGGCGCCTCTCGGAACCTCACTCTTCTTCTCCATAAAATGGGATCATAGGACCTGCCTCCCAGAATTGTTTTGATGATGAAATGAGATAATACCTAAATGACACAAAGTAAATACTCAGTAACAGTATTACTATTAGTAATGTCCCAGAAATGTTGAACTAAGTCATCTGAAAGTCCCCTTCTCCCTTAATAATAATATGATATAATTATTCTCACCATTACAAGTGCCCAGTGCTAATACTGTACTGGGAGGGAGTGGCTGAGAAGTGTTTCACCTCTGAGCCACTCTGTTCGCCACTGGCATTCAGTGACACGTAGGCTTGCCTGTGTGGCTGGCCTGGCCGCCTGCGCTGTCTGCAGCTCTATGGCCTTGATCTTGGTGATTGTCACATCCTCACTGTGCAGTGTTTTCAGGGACTATCCCGGGGGGAAAGCCGTGATGTTTTCACTTCACGTCATGGAAGAGAGTTCTGGGCCCCTCAGACATCCAGTCAGCTGGTCCTGGGGCATGTGCTTCAGAGGGAGGATGGAAGGGGTGGCGGGGTGGGCGTCACCTGGCACCATGACCTGCACTTGAACCTGCAGGCCTCCTGCCTGCTGCCCGCTGGTGTCAGCATGGATAGGGAGGGTATCCTGGTCAGTCCGTGTGTCCCCTGGGCACAGCCACATGCCCTGTTCACTGTGCCCGTCAGGAACTTGGCATTTGGTGGCGAAGGGATTTTACCAGGTGACATGATCTCCTTTTTCCAGGCTTTGGGTTAGGACCTGCCCACATTCTCCAACCCCTTTCCCTTCCCCCTCCCTGACTGGAAGCTTGCTAACTTGTGGGCACGCTTCATGCCCTGCCAGGTGGAGCCCCTGCTCTTGCTGAAGGCGACCCTCATCCTGCAGACCTGCCAGCGCTGCCCTCACGTGCTAGCCGGCTGCATCCTCTACAAAGGCCTGTGAGTACCGCCAGGACCCCCCCCCCCCACCCCCCGTTCCCTGGGGCCAGATCATGCCGCCTAAGGCCGTTGGCAGGAGCAGGCTGGTTTGGCAAGTATCAGGTAGGTCAGACTTGATTGAGGCTAGGTACCTGTCTTTGAGCAAAGCTGGGACATTGGACACTGTTGTGTCCAGAAAACAGGAATAGAAAAGCCAGGCATTTATTTATTTATTGAATTTATTGGGGTGACATCGGTTCACAAAACCACACAGGTTTCAAGTGTACAACTCAATGAAACATCATCTGCACGCGGCATCCTGTGCCCATCGCCCCGATCTCTTTCAGTCCCCATTTCCCCCCTTTGCCCATCTCCACCTTCTCCCCACCCCCTCCCCCCAAGGCTATCACTACACTGTTGTCCGTGTCTATGTGATATGTGTTTGTTTTCTGGCTAATCCTTCATCTTCTTTCATCCTCTGACAGCTGTCAGTCTGTGCCGTGCATCCAGGAGCAAAGGCAGTTTAAAGAGATCTTATAGTTCTCAGGACGGGGCATGCGTTTCTAGTTGTCAGTCTCTAGGTGATGGAAGTGCAAAACCCCCAAGGTCACCAGCAGCGCATGTCAGGGAGGGGGCGGGGCCTGTGGCATCCTCAGGGAGGGGGCGGGGCCTGCGGCATCATCCTGTGGCCCGCAGCTCCGCTCTGCAAAGCGGTGGTAGTGCTTCTCCTCAGACTCCTGCAGCCTCTTGTCTGTACCGTCCCTTGTTTGGCTCCGAGATCTCGATACTCTCACGCACTTGGAGGGCCTCTTCATGCGCAAGAGGCCCTCCACGCATCTTCCTCTCCTCGTGGAGGGCTCGCCCTCACAGCCCAGGGCAGGCAGGGCTGAGCCTGTGCCCAGAGCTTTCTGATGGCCGAGGGATGTGAGGCTGGAGGAACTCGCCACGCCCCTGGGGGACTCCAGCCTTCTAGGCTGTGTTCCCAGCCGCGAGATTTTCTCAGTCCATTTTGGCCTACCTCATAGTAGCTGCACGTTTATTAGTTAATTTAAATATTAATTTAATAATTCATGAATAGTTAAGTGATTAATTTAACTGTTCTCTTTTTGATGGAAATTTAAGTTGTTTACCTTTTTTTTTATTTTTTTATTTTACCTTTTTTTTCTCTGTAATGAAAATTCTGCATATTTCTTGGTACAAACCAGTCAAAGGGTTGGGACATTTACAAGTTTAATGGAAGTCGCCAGAGCGCCCTCCATGAGGGCTTTACCATCCGTGTCCCCAAGATCCGGCCAACGTGGGGGGTGAGGAGTCTTTTCACGCTGTCCTTGTTCCTGTCTGACCTCCCAGGATCGTGAGCACCCAGCTCCCGCCCTCCCTCACGGCCAAGGTCCTGCTTCATCGAGCTGCACCTCGGGACCAGGTATGGCTCAGCCACCACCTGGCTGGCAGCTTCCGCCCCAGAGGGACAGGGGCGTCGGGGACAAACTTACTTTATGAGCAGACGGCCTCGCTGGCCCCGATGGTCAGCGAGGAGGAGCGTGGTACCAGTGCCAACTTGTGTGTGTGTTTACTTTCAGAGAATACCCACCGGAGGGCATGCCCTGCAGGAGCGTGGTGAGTCGGGAGGCGCATTGAGGATGCATCCTTCATGCTGCCTGTCCCTAGACAGTCCTGTGAACGTGTCCCAAATGGCATTTCATCTGCTCGGAAGGTTAGGGAAACGGAGCCTCGAAGACAAAGCTAGCCATGGAAACCCTAATGGCAAATAAGGCTCGTGATTTTAGGTGCAGCTTCTTTAAAAACGAGCTTCGTGGGTGATGCCGGTTAGTAATGTTAACCGTTGGTTAATAAGTTACGGTTCTGTAATAGGTTTCTGTATGCCGTGCTGTGTGGGCGCACCTTTTAGCTCCCGCTTCCAATTCCTCCTTAACTCACTGGAGCGAGACGGCTCAGACAGGCCCCCTGGAGGGAGAGGACAAATGGCCAGCGCCCGGAGGACCCGTGCAGGGCTGGACGCGCGCCCAGGAGGGTTGTTTGTGTTGTTTTGAAGCATGAGTGGGGGCACATTCCTGTGGTCTTGCCCGGTGGATGTCTTACGTGCCACTGAGCTTTCCTCCACCAGCGGAGAGCAGTGTCCCCGTGGCTCTTCCTTGCCGACCACGGAAACCGTGGCTGCAGTTCTGTGCTTCTGTCTGGGTTGAGGGGCGTGTCACAGCTCTGCTCTCTGAGCCGGCATGTTGGGGTACATGTGTCACCCCAAGGACAGTCACTCCCCTCTCCTCTGGTCCAGGGGGGGCCTCCCATGTTGCTTTGTGATTCCAGGAGCCGTCCTGCCCCCGAACGTCCACGTCATGCCTGTTTTCGTGACGGAGGAGGAAGCCGCCGGTCTCCATGAGTGTCCAGGGGAGCCCGTGGCCAGGTAGGGGAGCACCGGCTTCTCCTTAAGCCACGCTGTAGGGGCCCCTTTCATGGGTTTATGCACGCAAGCCCAGGGGCGGCCCATCCTTCCTCCCTCTGGGACGTCAGCAGAGACGAGGCAGCAGCGTGGTGATAGGGGTGTGGGTTCCAAGCCCCCGACCTGTTGCTTATCTGCTCTGCGACCTTGGGCAAGTGCATTCACCACCTGAGCCTTAATTTTTATAAACTGTACCCAGTAACACCCACTTCCTAGGCTCCGGTGAAAACTGAAGCAGTGTTAGTATAATGCGCAGTGCAGGGTGCCTTATGCCAGACCCCAGATGTGGCTGACTCCGTGGGGCCTGCCGTTCCAGTAGATGATCCTGGCATCACTGGTGAAGCCCCGAGGGCCGGGCATCGCCTCATTTTTATGCCTGTGGTTTGGCCTCGGCTCTGTGGCCCCCGTCCCCCCCCGTCCCCGGGGCGGTGCGTCAGTCTCCGCGGGGAAGGCCCGCGCCCTGTCTGTCGCTATGTCCTCACGTCCTCCCTGTTCGCAGCCCGCCCGCATCTCCAGCCGGACTCCAGGGGCGCTCGGCTCGGCACCCTCGGAGGGGTGGCAGCCCCTCTGCCCTGAAAGAGGACAGGCACGAGGAAGCCGTGGCCTGGCCGTGGGCGGCCGCCCCTGAGCCCAGGCCCGCTGACGCCGCCCGGCCACGGGGCGGGGGGGAGCGTGGACACCTCTCCGACCGTGACCTGGAGGGCATCCGGCCTGCAGACCCACAGGCCACTGCCAGGGGCCAGAGTCCTGGCCGCCGCCGCCCCCCGGGGGCAGTGACGGGGCACGAGGAGCTGGACTTGTCTGAGATCCACATTCCAGAAGCTCGGGAGACGCCCACAGCCCCCGGTTCCCCTGCCGTCTCCAATGGGCGTGTCCCCGATGGCGGTGGTCCTTGTCCCACGGAATCTGTTAGCAACTCTGTCCACGCCGAACCCTCGGAGGCCCTGCCTGCGGGCACAGCCATCGCCGGCCTCCCCTCTCCCTCCGCTCCCGACGCGCTCACCGGGAATGGAGCCCCAGAGCAGCACGAAGACTTCCCTGGGGGCAGCAGCTGCGCCCCCGTCCTTAGGGGAGACCCCCTCCCCAGAAGTACAGGCAGGCCATCGCCACCGCCATCGCCGGATTCAAGGCGGAGGGGAACTGAGCTTCCGGAGCGGGGAGAAGGCACAGAGCCGCGTGGGGATGGGGCTCGGGAGAGCCGCCCAGCCCCCGGCCTGGGGTGCCCCTCGGGCTGTGCAGACCTTCCCGACCACAGCCCCTCCCCAGACAGCTCGGACCCCCGGGCAGCCCCAGCACCCCGGGGAGAACTGGTGCGCATGAGCCTCTACACGCACAGCGTCAAAGGGCTGGTGCTGGCCCTGCTGGCCGAGGAGCCCCTGATGGGAGACGCCGCCGCCATCGAGGAGGTGGTGAGTGCTCCACCCGCCCCAGCCCTGGGAGCGTGGGCAGGGAGGTGCTCCCTGACACCGAGCAGGAGGGGACTGGGCTCCGTGCTGCGGGCCCTGGTGCAAAGGCCCGTGCTGATCTGGGGGGTAGGGGGGTTTACCTGCCTTCCTGGGCTTGTGGGGGTGAGTGAGAGCAAGCCCAGGCACAGCTTGTTTTGCCACAGGCCCTGCTGTTTTAGACAGCGTGGCCATGTACCACAGTGACCGGAGGCTCCTTCCTAACTGGCTCCAGAAGTTCCTCTTAACTAACTGGTCCCAGCCCTGCCCCACTTCCAGCAGTTCCTTCTCTGGGGCCTGCCCTGGAGATGCAGTTGCTATAGTAACAGCCTACTGGAGTTGGCAGGGAAGTGGTAGCGATAGGAACAGGAGGTTGAAATTGCTGCAGGGTGATGGTGTCCTGGGGCTCGCCTTGTTTCTGTTCTTAAATCTGTATTAGTCTAAGCCAGTCTCATCAGCATGCAGGGCTGTGACCCCCATAAAGGGAGAAAGTCACCTTGCAGCTCAGAAGCAGAGGGAAGGCAGCTTCCGGGCTCAGAGCCCCAGGCGGCTGCTCCTCTGCAGACCTGCCTGCTTCTCTCCCCCCTTTCCTCAGACACTGTCACCAGTGGTGGCTCCTCTGCTCCCAACCCTCCTCCACCACAGCTCCCAGCGCCCCGCCACCTCCTCTGACAACTCAGGGACCATGGACTGTAAAGGCTTTGGTTTTCATGGTCTTTTCTGCTCAGTCTTGAGCTGTAAACAAATTATTTTGAAGGTCTAGTGTTTGGATGCAATAAGGTAGATATGACAGCTCTTTTACCTTCCCCCCCAAAAAGAAAAGGAAAAACCAGTTCTGGCTGCACTTGAAGAAGGAAGTAAGATGTATCCTGTAGACTCAGTGTGTGCTAACCACTGACATCTATCCTTTAGCCAGGCTGCGGGACGGTTCTGGGACAGGCACTGTAGCCCCATTTTACCAGCAAGAAAACAGGCCTCGTTGAGATAAAGACCCAATGCAAATAGCGGGCCAAGAATTCTTGTTTCTCCTTCTCCAGTCCAGCTACTCTGTCCCCTACTGACCTGACCTTGGAGTGGTCGGTGGGAAGGGGCGGAAAAGGGAGTGCCCGCCCTCTGTGGCTCTGGCTATGTGGGCACGCCCTTGGTGTGTCACAGCCCATCCATGTTGTTCGGACAGCTGCCAGGGGCTTTCCTGTGAAGCCAGGTGTAGTTAGGGCAGGCCCCGGGAAGAGAATGCAGCTTACTGGAGAGAGTAGGGTGTGATAACTGAGGAGCGTGCTGGTGTGAGCCTGGGGCGAAGGCCCAGACCCGAAGGCTGCTTCCTTGTCATTTGGGGAGAAGGCCTTTATTGCCCTTTTTGCCCCAGACCTGATTTCTGCCCGCTGCAGTCTAGAAAAGCAAGGCCCTGCAGAAGGGGAAGCTGCAGCTCAGATGACAGCGAGCACACCCCCTCCCTGGCTCTGTCACTCACTGGCAAGGCAGCCTGGTGTCATCTTGCCATCTTGTCTTTCAGCAGATCAACTGCCAATCTCTAGGGTGGGTGGCTGGGAGGTGGGTGGGAGGGGATGAAGGGGGAGCAGCCAGGAGAGATCAGATCAGTTCAGAGGGAACAGACTAGACTCCCACCAGGAGACTAGACTCCCACCAGGGGGCAGCATAGAGCTGCTGATAGTTCCTGCTCAAAGCCCAAAGGACTCTCTCACTGACCTTCACATTCAGGCATCACACCAGTTCTTCATGACTGATGGGACACTGAGCTGTCTGTGTGCTGGGGGTGAGCTTGGGTTTAGGGTAAGAGTGAGATATGGAGGTGCTCCCCTCCCCCGGAAACCGGTGCATCTCACATCGGAGCTCCTTGCTGTGCGGTGGACTAGAAGCGAGAGGAGCCAGGAGTTAAGGCAGTGGTGAGGTCTGCGTACGTGTAGCATGTATCAGGGGTTGGCAAACTTCTAATGCCCCGGAACACACAGCAGATATTTTCCGCTTTGCACAACTAGTGACTCTGCTGTGACGTCTCACAGCCTTAGACAGTATGTAAATAACTGTGTCCCAATAATATTTTATTTATAGACTTGGAAGTTGGAATCTCAATATTTTTCATGTGTCACAATATTAATCTTTTGGGTTTTTTCCCCCCTAACCATGTACAAATATAAAAACTCAGCTATTCTTAGCTCTCGGGCTACACAAAAAACGGAACGGGCTGGATGTGGCGCCGGCCAGGGTGTGTAGGCCCGGCATACATGGAAGCACTGGTCACTAGTAAATAATGTGCACGTCACTGGATGAGTTTCATATTCTTGCCTCCATAAAAATGCCTTCTCAGGGTGGCACCTTAGAGTTTACAAAGGATTCTTTAAAAATGTATTTTTATTGATTTGAAAGATAGATGGAGAGATAAAAAATACCAACGATGAGAGAGAATCATTGATCGCTGCCTCCTGCACGGGAGGGTGGGGGCCCGGGCAGGGTGCTATGCAAACAGGCAGCCTTCGTGGAAAGTCGTAGCTGGAAGGAGAGGTGCGAGGGCCAACAACAGCGGCTATTTCTGGATGGTGGGATTATGGGCTGTTTTTCTTTGCTTTTCCTTCCTTTTAAAATGTATTTTTCTGCACTTTTACAACAGCATTAAAACATAAGGGCAAAAGTTAGCACTTCTCTAAAAATGGGTAAGAACGTTGGTCAGAGTCCTTCCTGCCAAGTGGAGTAGCACGCAGGGGTGGTTTGGCTGACGGTTTGCTAGGCGTGGGGCTTGCGGGTTAACCGCAGCCCTGGCCGTGGGCCCCTCCGCAGTTCCACAGCAGCCTGGCGTCCCTGAACGGGCTGGAGGTCCACCTGAAGGAGACGCTGCCCCGGGACGAGGCCACCTCCTCCAGCAGAACCTACAACTTCACGCACTACGACCGCGTCCAGAACGTGCTGACAGGTGAGGAGCCGGCAGTGTGCGCAGCGCTGTGGCTGGAGCACTGCCTGGACGGGGTGGAGGGTAGAACTGGGCCCCGTGAGCGGAGGAGGTCGCCGCTCTGTCCAGAGCTGCCGAGGTGCAGTAGCGAGGCTGCTGCGTTTAGAATTTGCTCGATGAACACCTCTTTGCTCCTTGCTCTTTTTTTTGGCTGTCTCTCCAGTGTCTGAGAGAAGCACACACATGTTCAGATATCTGTGATAAGATTCTGCCTAAAATTGATACCCACAAGCCGGTGCCGCTTATGATCAGGGACAGTGCCTGCACCGCTGCGCGGTGGCAGCTGTCAGGCCTCTGTCCCTCCCGCTCGGCACTTGCACTCGTGTCCGAGGCGACAGGCCCAGGTTGGGGGGATCTGGGTGGGAGTCCGCACTCACTGCTGTGTCCTCTTCTGGAAGCCAACCTGCCCCCGGTGGCCGCAGCCCAGGACCGCCGCTTCCTGCAGGCCGTCCGCCTGATGCACGCAGACTTTGCCCAGCTGCCCTCGCTGTACGAGATGACCCTCCGGTGAGCCTCCCCCGCGCCACCTCACGGTCCTGCTCAGGAATCACCTTCCGGGGGCCCAGGCGGGGGAACATTCCAGTCACTGCCTTTAGGGTCTCCTTTTATTCGTCCTGGTGGCTGCTATCATCTACTCGCATGCTTTCCTGTGCTGTGTACTTTGGGGTCCCATCCTGGGGCTCAGACCTGCTGTAGACATTGGGGGACAATTGTCTACAATGTCTACCTTTCAGAGTTTTCATTGGCTGCTGGGGAGGAGGGGCTCCATCTCCTTGTCTGAATGATGCCGAGCGATGTACGGTCTTCTCACCTGTCACATCATTGTGCTCCTGTCTTCTCCCAGGTCAAGGAAGTCAACACTTCCCCCTCACCATCAGCAACCCAGAGACACCCTCTGTTGTTAGTTTGGTGTATATTACTCCAAGTCTTGTTGTTTCTAATGTGTAGTTGTTGTTGTTTTTTATATGAAATACAGGCTATTAATATTTCTGTTAATTATTTTAAGTCTTCTAGAAAACAGGATCATACTAATGTACTGTTCACACATCCCTTTTCCATTCCATCACATGCCCTAAACACCGCCATGCCACCTCACAGATATCTCTTCACCATTATTGTCACCTGAGTATGTAACTGAATGAATTCTCCTTTCTCCCACATGCTTCTCCGTGAAACCAGTAGCAGGACACAAGGCAAGTGGGAAGGTCCGAGGGGAGCGCCTGCTGTGTGACTTACATCCCAGTTAGTCCTGGGACGATCTGAACACGTGCATTTCCCCTCAGTGCACAGATGGGGACACCGGAGCACAAGCAATAGCAGTGACTTGCACCAGGGCACATTCTCTTAAAGTGGCAGGGCCAGGCTTCGAACCCCCGTCTCTCTGACTCTGAAGTACACGCTCTCTCCCCACGTTTCCAGTTTGGGGGCCTCTATGGCAGGCACACACACAGTCTGTGTGGTCTGAGATCTGCTCCGGCGGCGTCGGGCTGTTACCTTCTCTCTCCCTGTCCTAGAAACGCCTCCACGGCCGTGTACGCCTGCTGCAACCCCGTCCAGGAAACCTACTTCCAGCAGCTGGCGTCGGCCCCGCGGACCTCCGGCTTCCCCAGCCCCCAGGACACCGCCTTCTGCCTCCCGGGCAAAGCCAAGCAGAAGCTGCTCAAGCACGGGGTGAACCTACTGTGAACTGGGCCTCACGGAGACCCAAACGGCCCAGCGCGGTACCCACCACGGAAGCGCTGCCTTCTTACCCAGAAGCACCCTGTCCACTGTCTGGGAATGCTGCTTTTTAGGAAGCTGTGACGTTTGCATATTGGTTACTCCCTTACAGATGGGAGGGGATGGGGTAGATCTTCGGTCTGCAGACCTGGAGCGTGTGATAAAGACCTTGATTCAGTGGCAGTGCTGGGCCAGACAGGTGCTTCGGCTCCTGACATCTCAGCCTTAACATGAGCCACAAAATACAGGCAGCCTTCTTTCTAGAAAGCAGCTGTCCCAAGTGTTTTCCAGCCCTGCCTGCAGGGGGCGATATGAGGTGCGAGCGCACAGAGAGGTGGCAGGTTTGTTAGCAAGTTGCCTGGAACACCACTACTCCCCAGTGGGACTGTCTTCCGAGTGGTCCTCCTGGGAGGCAGGGCTGGGACAGTGGGGGGAGGTGGAGGGCACAGAGCTACCTCATCTGAAGTATCCTGGAACCGGACTCAAAACTTAAGAGCACCCCTGGCCAGTTTGGCTCAGCAGGTAGGGTCAGTCTGTGGACTGAAGGGTCTTGCGTTGGAAATTCCAGGGTGCAGGCTCGATCCCAGGTTGCATGTGGGAGGCAACCAATCAGTGTGTCTGAGATCCGGGCTTTGCACCACTCCCTCTTGAGCGAATGTCCCCAAACGGGAGTTCCCAAAATTTTGGGGGGCAAAAGCAGACCCGTGCTTCCGTGTGGCTGTGTGTGAGGGAACCACCTTCATGTGTGTGTTTCATGTCTATTACATCACAGTCAGACATGTTATGATAACACGGTACAGTTCACAGGATAAAGCTATTGACCAAAGTCTCCTCTCAGTGTTTACTGGAAGATTCCATTTGAAAGCTGCCATGTTAAATAATGGCATCTGATGGTTATGGCATGGTGTCTTTTTCGTGAAACAAGTTTCCAAGGGCTAAAATAAAATAGCCAGAGTTGCCGTTGAGTTCTGATTAATTATAATAAAGAGCAACATTTCTGGTGACCAAGTTAAGGTGGGGGGGGGGGCGGCATTTTTTTGTGTGCGTGTATGCACTTATTTTGCGTGGACACGCAGGGCGGCCAGGGGAGGAAGGTGCACTTCAGGATGGTCTCTGGTGGACAACGGGGCCCAGCCAGCTGCTCCCAGGAGCACCAGCTTCCGCAAGGCTCGCCCCCAGCCCCCTGCCCCCACCCTCCTGCCACTGGCTGGCCCAGAGGGCCATCTTCCCATGGGGAGGAGGACTGCACCTCCAGCTACGATAAATAGCGATGTTCCTACTTCTCTGCTAAGTTCTCGGAGAAAAAATTCAGCACAGGTCTCCACGCCAACCACGCAGGGAGCCTTCGGGACGGGCTTACACAGGACACGCTGCTTTCCTTTTCCTTGGGGGCGTTTGAAGCCGCCCCCAGCGGAGCCGGGTGGGTTACAAGCTGTCGTGTGGTGAAACGGGGACAGTTTGGAGCCTGGACCCATTTCCATCCGCCCACCGGGAGCTCAGCGAACCGTCTGATTCAAGGGCCCTTCACACGAGATGTTTCACAAGAACATCGCTGCCTGCCGCTGGGCCTTCCTCCGTGGCAGGCCACTGGCAGGTCTTGTTTCGCATCCAGAAACCTCTCTTCCCATCTGATTTCCCAGGGCTGCCCTCGAGTGAGAAATGCTTTTAATACAAAACGCCTTGGTTTCGGAGAGTCAGTGCTCAGCAGCCAGGTGAGTGCGCGATCCAGTGAGGAGCCCCCGGGGAGGGCTCGGGGCCCCGAGCAGGAGACCCAGCAAGGCCCGAGGGCGGGGGGAGGGTGACGGGTGCCATCTGTGTGCCCGGAAAGAGGCACTGAGTCTGAATGGACGTCCTTCATCTCCAACCAGTTCCAGTGGCAACAGCACCTGTGGGCTTTGGTGTCAGAGTCCTGGGTTCCACTCACAGCTCTGGGACGTATTACCCGGGACACTTGATCCAAGTTATTTCGTTTCTCTCAGCCCCAGAGTCATGCTCTTTAGAATGGAAAGGAAGTCGCGGTGCATTTAGGAGTGTGGCTTCCTGTGTGCCCTCTCTGCCAATGGGTGCAGGTGGGTGTCCCTGTGCAGGGGTCCCTCTGCAGGCGGTGCAGAGGCCTGAATGTATGTCTGAGTTCAAGGTGGCCGAGTGTACTTGGCTGCCTGGTTTCTCGCTGCCCCTGTCCTCCAGCCACCACATGACCTTGTGGTCACCTCCGCTGCCCGCTCTGAGCCCGTTTCTCCTGCTCAGTGTGCACCACCGTCCCTCCTTACCCATGTGGCTGTCCGTGTTCGTGTGGAAATACTGCACGTGGAGGAATCTTCTAGAGTGCACGGTGCTCTGTACTCAGGGGGAAGGCCCTCACCTTGAAGCGGGGTGGCAAAGGCACTGGAAGTGTGGAAACACGGGGAAGGTGCGGGTAACTAGGAATCAGGACCAACGTGTGTGCCTGGGAGGGAGGCAGAGAGTCAGTCAACCCGTGTGCGCTGCCTGCTGCCACCTGACGCTACAATATGCCTGAGTATTCTCGCTGCCATCTGTCAGCAGCTTGGAAATATGTGGCCTTATTCCGTCCTGCTCCCTGTGCTCACATCTGCTTAGCAAGATGCCGCTGGGGAGGCAAGGTTATGGGGGTGCTGGCGGCAGGCCGCGGTGGTCCTTAGGAACAGCATGTTGTACTCACCTTTGTTCTCGTGTTTACATTTTAAAAATATGTCTGGAGCGCACCCAACCCACCCAGAATGTGACATGTTGTCTTAAGCCTGAAAGTAGGCACTGGCCTCACTTTACAGATGAGGCTCAGAGCGGATGAGGACTTTTTGGTGGAAAGGGATAGAAACGACAACTCAAACTTGGCTTAAGAATAAAGGGGGATCCTAGAAGTCACTGGTCATCAGAGAGATGCAAATTAAAACAGTGAGGTACCACCTCACACTGTCAGAATGGCTACCATCAACAAATCAACAACCAATAAGAGCTGGTGAGGAAGTGGAGAAAAGGGAGCCCCAGGGCACTGCTGGTGGAACGCAGACTAGAGCAGCCACTGTGGAGAACAGTATGGAGTTTCCTCAAAAAATTAAATATGGAACTGCCATTTAACTCAGAGATCCCACTTCTAGGAATATATCTTAAGAAACCTAAACCACCAATCAGAAAGAATATATACACTCTACGTTCATAGCAGCGCAATTTACAGTAGCTAAGATCTGGAAACAGCCCAAGCGCCCATCAGCAGACGAGTGGATAAGAAAGCTGTGGTACATCTGCACCATGGAATACCATGCAGCAGCAAAAAAGGATCTCTTACCCTTAGAGACAGCATGGAGGGACCTGAAGAGTATTAAGTGAAATAAGCCAGTCAGAGAAAGACAAGTATCACATGATCTCACTCATATGAGGAATCTAATGAACAAAATAAACTGATGAGCAAAATAGATCCAGAGACACAGAAGCGTGGGACAGAGTATCGAATCTCAGAGGGAAGGTGGGGGTGAGTGGATGGGAAGAGATCAACCAAGAAACCTGTATGCATATCTATAGCGTAACCCATAGACAGGGACAATAGGGCGGTGAAGGCAGGGGCAGGGTGGGCTACAAGGGGTCAGTGGGGGGAGGGAGGGCATACGTAATACTTGCAACAATAAGGATTTTAAAAAGAAAAGGATAAAGGGGGAAGCTTATTGATTCATGTAACTGAAAAGTCCAGAGGTAGAGCTGGTTTCAGGAAAAGTTAGTTAGGCTCAGATGATCCCCAAGGTTGAGGCGGGTGGGGGTGGGGGGTGGGAATCTCTTTTTCTCTGTGGCTTTCACTCTCAAATTTTCTTTGCACTAGATCCTCAGTCCATCACTGATAAGTCGCCTCTCTTTCTCAATGGTCCCAGCAAAGGGATTGAGTCATATGGCCAGCCCTGACACAATCTGACTGTCCAGGGGTTTAAAAGACTTTGAAGAGTGTGGAGAGGGTCATGTGCCCAGCCCTGGCGCAATATCTGAATAGCCAAGAGTTTGGAAGGCTCTGATTGGTCAGTACTGGATCTGATTGGTCAGTATTTCTCAAAATACTGACTGTACCGTGCAGCCAAGGTCAGGAACCCGTGATCAGGCGTACCGCCCCCTCCCCCACTCCAAGCTGTAGGGTAGCCATTACAGGTGTGGTCACGGTCACCAAGGGGCTCAGAACCCAGGGAATCTGGATGAGTTTGGGGCTGATGAGCAGGTGCCTGGGAGACTGGCATGTGACCTTGTGCGGCCTGGCCTCGGAGCGGACGCAGGCTGCCTCGGGGCAGAGGCAGGCTTCTCACTGGAGCTGCGCGGACACGCTGGCCCCTTTGTCGCCCTGAGCGTCCCAGGCCGAAGCAGGCAAAGTACTTCAGCAGCTGCCTCGTTGGCGGCGCACCCTGGAGAGAGAGACACCGCGGTCTCCAGCGGGCGCTGCTCTCCCGTTTGCCAGGGCGGCCCAGCCGGGGCTGTGGGCTGGGGGCGGGCTTGCGTGGGAGAACACCTGGCAGCCAGACTGCTCTGGGGTTCCAGGCCACCAGGGCCATCTGTCCCTCTCCTGAGACAAAGGGGACATTTTTCTAATTCTGGCTACCGGGGAACCTGCTTCTACAGGTATACAAAGGAGCCAACGCCACCCCTTTCCCCCTTCCGGATCAGATGTGTTCATCCACCTCTGCCTCACCCATCCTGCTCCTCCCGTTTCTCTGGAACCACGGCCATGGCAGGAAGGGACCAGCGCCATGGCTTTGCCTGGCAGGGACCATCCCTACAGCGGCGCCATCTGAGGCTACCAGAGGCCCCGGGACTGGCCAGAGGTCACGTGGGAAGGAGACCTGGCACTGAGTCCTGGCACCAGCTTTCCCTACGCAGAGTCCCTGTTCTTGGCCAGAGTGCCCCTGGCCATTCCGTGACCTTCCGTAGGCCTGTTCTTGTTTCTCCCGCCCCACACCTGCTATCTTAGAAATCCTGCTTCAGTCCCTACACCGTGAGGGTCCCGCCTGCCGCTGGGACACCATCCAAAAGCCAAGAGCCTCCAACTCAGACCTGTGCCCCACTCCGGGCTCCTGCCCAACAGACGACGTCACCACTGCCCTGTGGTTTTCAGCAAGACCCTTTATTGACCTCCTGGTCCCCATCCCGTCACACGAGCACGGGCAGACGGGCGCCTGCGCGGGCTGTTGGCTTTGTAAACGCAGAGCGGTCGGTGTGGAGAGAAATCATGCGCCTCAGTGACTCCTGAACAAATACAAGTAAAGAGACTTCGGTGCTTTGAAAGGTCTGCCCTTTCCTGCATCCTAATCACTGGGAAATACCTCGCAGACATTTCACTCAGCCGCAGACACGTCATCTTGGCTCGCTTGCTAGGATCTGCTGGTGCGCTGCAGGTCGTGGCTCCTTCTCACAGAAGCTGCTGGCTTCCGTGTGGATGGAACACGGGGCCTGCCCCTGTGACAGGCTTGTATTCGAACCGTGTCACGGCCTCACCGACCTGACGCTGCCGTTACCCATGATGCAAACCGGCATCTCGTATGGAAGGAGGAGCTGCCCTCCACACCTCAGCTAACAGGAGGATGTTTCTAGACTAGCGCCCCCTCCTGGCCGTGCCCTTCACAGGAGATGGAAGGGCCAGGCCAGCTCCGGGACCAGGGCCCTTTGGGTCTGTAGGTCTTCCGGGGATCCTGTCTCACACATTCGCTTCGGCTGCCAATAACAAGGCCACAGGGCTGACTCTCCCGCTGTTTCTGAGTCCAGCGTTTGCACGTTTATGTACAGACATGTAAATGGAAAATCATAGGCAAACGAAAGTCCATACGAAACAGACAGGTGGGTCACACCCAGAGTTCCGGTTCTGCCAGAAAGGGCTTCCCAGGTGTCACTGGACACGTGCGGTCCTGGCCCACCACAGCTCCAGTGGGCCAACCAGGTGGTCTCGGAGGTCATCGTCAGAACGGCTCAGACGGGGACTGTGCGGGCCCGGTGGCAGTGGGGCTTCTGTGGGCAGTGAGGTAAGTGACGGACACCTTCTGCGGCCGATCCGTGGGAGCCCCGCCCGAGGACGCCAGCCTCAGCTCGGAAGGAGAGCCACTCGGCAGAGAAGCCTCTGGTCCTGCAGCCGCACGCTCTCCGCCATCAGACAGACAAGGTTTGCGGTGGGGTGAGTGGATGGTGACATTTCCCCAGGCCATGCGTGTCCCTGGCCATGTCCGTCCTGCCCCTGACATGTCCATCCCGCCCCTGCAGCTGGCCGGGGGCAGGGCCTGCAGCCTCCACCTGCCTGGGGGGCGGAGGGTCCCCCTTGTGGCGGTGACAGCAGCAGAGGCCACTCTCGGGCGCTCTGGGCTGCAGTGTTTTCTGTTTTGTATGGCGACCACAAGAAGCTTTACGGTGTTACCTTCAGACAGAGGGCCACCCGATCGATCACTGACAAGAGCCAGTGGCAACGTGACACTGCCAACGGGGGCACCAGCCTCTGGCCCCAGAGCCCAGGACCGCATCATCAGCGGGAACGAACCGCAGAAGCAAACGAACGGAGGGAAAAAGACCTCTAAGGAAAGGCGAGCGGAAATGTCCCACTGACAACGGGAGGAGAGAGGGACCCCGCGCGGGTATAAAAACCCCGAAGGAGCGCTTTCTGTCGAGGCAGGTTTCTGAGCATGGGATCGTCACACGCGGGCGCTGGGCCGTCCCCCCGGCTGTCCGTCCAGGCTGGCCCCAGGCCTCTCTCTCGCCGACCTGGCCCGGGACGTGTTCTCATCGGCCCGGAGCAAAGATGAAGTCCAGGGCCTGCCGTTCCGCCGCGGCGACATTCGGATGCCACAGGTCCACCATGAACACCACCCGCGGGCCATCCTCCGCCGCACCTGGGATGGGGGTGAGAGAGGAGAGTTCGAGCAGCCCGGAGCCAGGACCCGCGGTGAGCTTTCCAGCACAGACCGGAAGGGTTTTCCCGCTCTCTGGTCGGGAATGTGATCCTGGCTTCCTAGCAGAGTGCGGAACAGGTGCAGGCAGAGGGAGAGGGGTATGAAGCTATTCCGTGTGATCCTGTCATGGTCCATACATGTCATTATATGTTTGCCAAAGCCCACAGAATGTTCAACATAGAGCGAACCCTAGTGCAGACTATCCACTTAGTTATCCACAACAGCGTGTCACTATGAGCTCGTCAGTTGTAACAGATGCACCACGCTAATGCCAGATGCTAACGAAAGTGGAAACTGTGTATCGGGATGAGGGAGGGTGCTGTGTACTTTCTGCCCTATTTTTCTGGAAACCTAAAACGTCTCTAAAAATAAAGTTCATTTTAAAAGGGCAGCAATACCCAGGCATTTTATTCTTTTGGTTGCTATTGCAAAAGGAATGGCCTTTTCCATTTCTTTCTCTGGATTTTGTTGTGAGTATACGGGAAGGCAATGGACTTTTGCACATTGATTTTGTATCCTGCAACCTGTCTGCATTTGTTTATTGTTTCTAGTAGTTTTCTGGTAGAGTCTTTAGGGTTTCCTATCCGCAAAAAGTGACAGTTTGACTTCTTCCTTCCCTATTTGAATGCCTCTTATTTCCTTCTCTTGCCTTATTGCTCTGGCTAGGACTTCTAGCACTATGTTGAGTAAGAGGGACATCCTTTCTTGTTTCTGATCTTAGGGAAAAAGCTTTTAATTTCTCACCACTAAGGGTTTATCATATATGGCCTTTATTATGTTGAGGTAGGATTAAACTTAACAAAGAATGTGAAAGATTTATATACTAAAAGTTACAAAGCATTACTAAAATAAAAAGATTGAAAAAGACACAACAAAATGGAAAAACATCCCATGTTCATGGATTGGAAGAATCAACATAGTTAAAATGGCCATATAGAGATTTAATGCAATCCCTTTCAAAATCTTAATGTCATTTTTTAAAGAAATGGAATGAGAAATCATCAGATTTGTATGGAACCATTAAAGACTCAGAATAGCCAAAGCCATGCTGGAAAAAAAAAAAAAAAAAAAAAAAAAAAAAAAAAGGAACGAAGCTGGAGGTATCACAGTACCTGACTTCAAATTAAAATACAGAGCTACAATAATCAAAACAGCATGGTATTGACAGAGAAACACACACACAGATCAATGGATCAGAATAGAGAATCCAGCTATAAAACCACATACAAATGGACAGATAACCACATGCAACAGAGCCAGAAACACATCTGAGTAACGGTAGTCTCTTCAATAAATGGTGCTGGGAAAACTGGAAAGCCACATGCAAATGAATGAAACTGGATTACAGTTTGTCCCCATGTACATAAATTAATTCAAAATGGATCAAAGACCTACACATAAGACCCGAAACTATAAGTTACACAGCAGAAAACATAGGTACCAAACTTATGGACCTGACAGGACATTTTATGGACTTGACCCTAAAGGCAAGGGAGGTAAAGGCAAAAATAATGAATGGAACTATAGCAAACTAAAAAGCTTCTGCACAGCAAAAGAAACTGACAACCAAACAAACACGCAGCCCAACCAATGGGAAATTATATTTGCAAACAGTTGTTCCGACAAAGGTTTAATTCCCAAAATATAAAAAAATTCATAAAACTCAACACCAAATAAATAATCCAATAAAAAAGTGGGCAAAGGACCTGAAAATACACCTCTCCCATGATATATGAAAAGATGTTCAACTTCCCTGGCAATTAGGGAAATGCAAATCAAAACTATTAATATAATGAGGTCACCTTACACCTGTCCAAGTGGCTGTTAGAAAAAAGACAAGCAGTAACAAGTGTTGGAGAGATTGTGGGGGAAAAAGGGAACCTTCATTCACTGCTGGTGGGAATGTAGATGAGCATCACCACTGTGGAAAGCAGTTCTGGTGACTCCTCAAAACATTAAGAATAGAGCTACCATATAACCCAGCAACCCCACTCCTGGGTATATACATGAAAAACTCAAAATCATGTATTCGCAAAATCATGAACTATGCGTCCCTGTGTCCATTGCAACATTATTCACGGTGGCCAAGACATGGAAACAACCAAAGTGTCCTGACATAGAGGACTGGATGAAGATGATGTGGTCCGTACACACAATGGAATGCTACTCAGCCATAAGCAAGCATGAAAGAGCGCCATTTGCAACCACGTGGATGGACCTTGGGAACATTATGCCAAATGAGTCACACAGAAAGGCTAGAACCGTATGATTTCACTGTGGAATATAAAACTGAAACGTATGAACACAAAAACAAAGTGGTGGCTGCCAGAAGGAAGGGGGTCCTACTAGGAGGTGACAGGAGACTTGACGTTGGGTGGTGATCGCCCGGTGCGATAGACAGATCTGGTAACATAAAAATCCACACACGAAACCTATATGTTCATGTTGACCCGTGGCACCGCGACCAATTTAATGAAGTAAATAAATAAAAGAGCGGCGGGCACTCACCTTCATGGAACGCGGTGTGTAGGAAAGAGTCGTCAAAGAGGAGGCAGCGGCCTTCTGCCCAACACTGGGGCTCGCCCCCCACCACCAGCTCACAGCCACTTGGGGTTTTCAGACCTTGGAGAGGAAAAAAAGAGCAGAGAAAGGCGGGCGGGATCAGTCATGACCGGAAGTCAGGGTGACCGGAAGTCAGGGTGACCGGAAGTCAGGTGCAACCGGAAGTCGTGGGGCCGGAAGTCGGGGATGGCCGGAAGTTTGGGGGCAGGCAGCTCTCGACTTCCGATCTTTATCCTCACCCCCTCGGGGTCTCTCTATGGGGAGGGGGCTAGTTCAATAGGGCAAATGGGGGGTAGAAACCTGGGTCCTCCCCGTCCTCCTTGGGAAAACTCACTCCTCCATTGGCGTGATCTGCTCTGGGTCCCGGGCCCCTCTGCTAACGCCGGGCACGGAGGCTTGCCCTGGGACCACGGGAAACTGAGGGAGCAGGTTCAGAACCCCGCCTTTCAAAAATCATGTTTTTGCCCTCACCGGTTTGGCTCAGTGGATGGAGTGTCGGCCTGTGGACTCGAGGGTCCCAGGTTCGATTCCGGTCAAAGGCATGTACCTTGGTTGCGGGCACATCCCCAGTAGGAGGTGTGCAGGAGGCAGCTGGTCGATGTTTCTAACTCTCTATCCCTCTCCCTTCCTCTCTGTAAAAAAAAAAAAAAATCAATAAATATATTAGATAATAATAATAATTGTGTTTTCTACAGTCCCACCTCTAGGGCTGCTCTAGGTGAGGTCAAAGACACCAAGGCTCACACGGTGCCCTCCTCTTTGGGTTCCAACCCTTCCATCCATTTGGAGGCCTGAGGATGGCATGTTGTGGATGGAGGTTTCCCCGGCCCCGTTCTGGGAAACCGGAGGAACACCCGCAAGAGAACGCCCGAGCTCCAGGACGCAGAGCCATCATATGCTTAACGCACCGGCGGCGAGGCCCGTGCTTGGTGCCCGGCCCGGAAGGTTCTGGGGAAGCAGGCCCTGGCGGAGGGGCTGGGACTGGGATGCTCTCATCCGTCCTCAGTGACTCACTGTGACAAGCACAGCCCCTGGGCCAGTCGGCAATGTCCCTATGACAAACAGGAGATGACAGCCTTTTCTCTCACAGGCAGGGTATTTTAATGCACTGTCGGAGCCAAAAATGGATGGTTCCGGGAAGCACGAATGCAGTAAGAATTCTAACACAGGCCGCGCGGAGCTGTGGGAGGGACAGAGGCCCTGGGATCCGATCACTGACTGGGACGCGTATCTGCTGTGTGACGTTGGCAAGCGCTCGTCTCTCTCAGCCACAGCCTCCTTGTCTGTAAAGAGGGGAGGTTAGCATACTTACCTATCAGTGTGACGCGACCACTGTCCTTGCTACTAGTATTGAAGACTGACTGTGTGCAGGCTTGTGTTAAACACTTTACAGACCTCACTTCACCTCTTCCCAGATGGAGCAAGCGGATACAGAGAAGTTAAGGCACCTGCTGGAGGTCACTATTTAGTCCTGGCAGGAGCTGAGATTCTGAATCCAAACTGTCTGGCTCCATAAAAACAGGCTCTTACAACACTGGCCAGCATGATGTAAATGCTGGCTATTACATTAGTAGCAGTGGTAGGTAAGTGGTTGCTGGTTTTCCTGCAGTTAATGGTAAGTTTCAACCATCAATAGCACATTTCATTGAATCAGCTGAGACCGTCTGTTCTGACCCTGAAACCGAGACCTCCCACTATTGTTAACAAGTGCTGGGGGTCAGGGGGCCAGCCGCTGGCTCAAATGAAGAGCCCCCCAGGCCACGTCCCCTTCATGCGTGACCGCACTGGCTGGTGCAGGCGGAGACGGCCTTCAGGACAGCGCTTGTCTGCAGGGTCGGTCCACCCCGGGATTTCAGAGAGAAGCTCCCCTTTCTGAATGGCTGATTGCCACGCGCCATGGTAAAGCAGAAAAAGAGTGTGTCTTGCTGGCTTGCCAGCCCCCTGCTTCATCTCCCCTGCCTCCCCCACACTCTGCTCCAGCCTCCAGTGGCCCACCATGCCTGCCTCTTGCTCACAAACCAGTTCAGTTGGCAGAAGTAATCAATACTCCCCCACATGAGAATCCAGGTGGCTCCTGGGTTTGGGACAGGCCCCACACATGGCCTGGGCCAGTCCCACATGCCCAGGCCTTCCTCTGGCTCAGCATTTGCCGCCTTCCCTGCCAACCACTGATGGAGCAGGTGGAGAAACGGCTCTGCCCACCAGGCCCGCTTCACAAGGCTGGCTGCTGACACTGAGGGTGGGCAAGGCAAACACAACCGATCTGCTGGCCCAGCACCCAGCCGGCACACGCACGGGAGAAAATGGAGAGTCGAATTGTGCTTATGAGTGAGAAGTTGCTGAACATGCGTTTTTATCTACCTTTTCCTGAGGGTTAGCCCTTTGGATGAGTGCCCGCCTCCCCGGAGACACCTGCCTGGTAATGGTCAGAGGCTGCTTCCTAGAGGCTTGTGGTAGTGGGGGCACGACGGCCTAGCACCCCCTGCCCTCCCCCCCCCCACACACACACACACACTGCTGGGTGGTGGCCAGGCTTGAGCTGTCCCTGGTTCTGCACGGAATCAAGGCTGAGTGACACCACCTCTGGAGGTGGCGCAGGACAGGGCTCAGCACGTGCCTGGGCACGTGAGGAGGGACAGTACCACCAGTCACAACGCACATGGCACGCAGGAAAGGAGAACAAGGCTCGGCACGCCTGAAACCACAAGTACCTCCGCCACCTACAGCCAGGCAACCGGCACAGGTGTGGCCACCAGACACCTGTCCTGCTGGCCCTGCTTCTGACCTCGTTCTCTGGCCTCCCTCTCTGTCAACACTCAAGGTCACGTGACTCAAACACACCCTTATTTCCTTCCTGGGCGGATACGAACGTGGGCATGACTGTGGAGAGAGAGAAACGGTGAGCAGAGCCAACCACGGAGCTCGCCTGGCCACGGGGACGCGCCACGCTCCGATGGGACGCCTCCCAAGGTTCCTGCTGTGCTGGGAGCAGGACGTGGCCGGCTGTTTCTGGCGGCCAGTAACCAGCTGGCCACGGAGGGAAGGACAGGTCATAAAGGGACCTGTGTGGGTGTGGTTTACACACACACACACACATACACACACACACACACTGCATGGATGCACAACAGGAGGCAAATCTTTGGTTCTCGCCTACTACTCAGCCCTTCCCACTCAGCACGCCTACCCAGAGTTCCACCTCACCTATCCTCAGACGCCCTTCCCTGCATCATTTTGAAGTTTTAAAAAAACATAAAAAGAAGCCTTTGAAAACAACAGCATTGCCGAAACCGGTTTGGCTCAGTGGATAGAGCATTGGCCTGCGGACTGAAAGGTCCCAGGTTCAATTCCGGTCAAGGGCATGTACCTTGGTTGCGGGCACATCCCCAGAGGTGGGTGTGCAGGAGGCAGCTGGTTGATGTTTCTCTCTCATCGATGTTCCTAGCTTTCTATTCCTTTCCCTTCCTCTCTGTAAAAAATCAATAAAATATGTTATAAAAACAAAAACAAAAACAAACACAAAACAAAGCATTGTTCCCTTTGCCCACAGCCTTAACACCAAGCCTGACGGGGAAGCAGGAGGAGGCTCTGTGGTTTGCTCCCACCAGGCCCCTCCAACCCCGGCCTTCACCACTGGTCACCCCAGCAAGCCAGACACGGCTCCCCAACCCCCAACCTCCTGCCCAACTGCACCCTTCAAGGCCAGCCCACCTGCCCCTAGCAGCCCACCTGCAGCCCTTGTGTCCTCTGACCTCAGAGAGCACCCTGGTGCCTCGCACAGGGATTTCGCTGATCATGACCCGTCACGTGGATGACCAGCTCTGCCCTTAGGTTCCTCACGGCCCCCCTGACCTGACCGCTCTCAACCTCCAAGCACCTCACACTCACAGCACTGCCAGGCCTCCACCGGCCCTCAGGTGGCGAGCACTACCTCCATTCAAGAGGGGAGCACAGCGGCTCCAAGGTCACTCAGCAAACAGGGCGGACCCATCAGCGTCCAGGCGCATGTGCTTCTGCAGTCTGCTCATTCCCCACTGTTCCCGAGGGCAGAGGCCGTGTCTCACGGGTTCTTTATCACACGGTCCAGCCCAGTGTCGGATCCCCAGAGCTACCAGCGACTGCTTATCCAATGCGGTCACGTGCCAGGCACTGTGTGGAGCAGCCACAGGAGATATTAGTTTATGTAACCCCCCTAATGATCCTGTGATCTCCCCATTTCACAGGTGAGGAAACTGAGGCACAGAGAGACCCACGAAGTCAGGCCACCTGGACCCTGCTCTGCCTGTGCTCTTGAAATACCCAACTGCTCAAATCCCATTCCTTTTGCTTTTTAAAGCAGTGAAGGCCTCTGTTGAAGCCACACTTTAGTCATAGTCCCCAGAGAGAACAGAAGCAGAGGGCTCTGGGTGAGTGAAGGCTGGGAGGGAGGGGGGCCTGGGCATGTGGGCCCCCCAGTGCACCCCGAGGTTCCTCAGTGGGAGTGATTAGGAGCCCTGCTCTGGCCACATCGGGCTCCTTGTGTGTTTCCCCTCGCTCCATCCCGATGCCCAGGCAGCGCTGCAAGCTCCCCAGAGCTGGGCCTGGCTCCCGGCACACTCCCCCAGTCTGGGATGCTCACCCGAGGTGCCATCGCCCCGGTAACCAAGCCATTATCATGACTCACCAGGAACGAACGAACGAGGCATTCTGGGGGACTGACACCCCATTTTTACCAAGCTGCTCCCAAGCCTGCCTTTCGCAAGTACTCCCTCTCTGTCATGCTCTGCGTGAACAAACGCTTCACAGCACACAATCTCGGCCCTCCCCCCCCCCCCGCTGATGCTCAGAGGAACTCTGTAAAAGACGACCCTCCCAATGAGGAAACGGAGGCTCAGAGAGGTGAAGTCACTTTCCCAAAGTAACACAGCCAGCGGGAGGTGGGGCCGAGGTGCACACACGGGCAATCTGACTTCAACCCTGTCCTCAAAACCACTGCTCCACACGATGCGCGCCTTCCCCACGCCCCTAGGATCTGAGCAGCCTCACCACGGAGCATCGGTGTATCTCTGGGTACCGGGAGGCGCTCGGCCTCTTTCATCATCCTGGACCTCGGTGACCACCGTGTCCATCTCCGGCTCCGCAGCGCCACTGCCCATCAGCCACTGGCCACATGCTGCTGTTTAAATTTTAATTCAGATTAAGTTAAAAACTGAGCCCCTCCGTGGCACTAACCACATCTCAAGTGCTCAGCAGTCACGTGGGGCCAGCGGCTACCGTATCAGACAGAGACCACGCCCATCAGCACAGACAGCTCCCTCTGGACAGAGCTTCTGTCATTATCAGGTTCACACTGGTCACGAGTGTCTTTTTTTGTCTTTTTGACCCAAATCTGATGTCAAACTATTTACAGGTTGATTCATCAACTTGTGAGAGAAGCACAGAGAAAGATGTTGAAAAGAGCACCCTTCTGGCCGAAACCGGTTTGGCTCCGTGGATAGAGCGTTGGCCTGTGGACTGAAAGGTTCCGGGTTCGATTCTGGTCAAGGGCGTGTACCCTGGTTGCGGGCACATCCCCAGTGGATCGATGATTCTCTCTCATCGATGTTTCTAGCTCTCTGTTCCTCTCTGTAAAAAATCAATTTATAGCCGGGACCGGTTTGGCTCAGCGGTAGAGCGTCGGCCTGCGGACTGAAAGGTCCCGGGTTCGATTCCGGTCAAGGACATGTACCGTGGTTGCGGGCACATCCCCAGTAGGGGGTGTGCAAGAGGCAGCTAATCGATGATTCTCTCCCATCGATATTTCTAACTCTCTATCCCTCTCTCCTCCTCTCTGTGAAAAATCAATAAAATATATTTTTAAAAAAAATCAATTTATATATATATATATATATATATATATATATATATATATATATTTATTTTATTTATTTTTTTTAAGAGCACCTTTCTGGCTACTGAGCTTTTGGGGTGTCTGGATTCTCCCCCCGCCCCCCCCCCATCCCCCGGAAGTCGGGCCGACGCTGCTGAGAAGGGTGCGCGCCGGGGCGGGACCCCCGGCCCCGCCGCCACCTACCTAAGTGGCACCGGATGCGGATGTTGGTGGGCCCGTAGTGCTCCGTGATCACGGTCCCGGGGCTGAGCACGGAGATGCACGCGTTGCCGAACACATTGTTCCCGATACAGGTCCGCAGGCTGCCGAGCAGGCGGTACGTCCGTGGGCACCTGCGGCAGTTGCCGGGCACGCACACGCCCTGGTTGACCAGGTAGAAGGTGAGCCACTCCCCGCGGGGCGTGCCGTTCAGTTTCCAGCCCTGCGGGAGGCCGCAGTTGGAGAAGGCCTTGGACAGCGCCTCGAACTCGCCCAGGATGGTGGGGAAGCCGCGCTCCAGCAGCTCCACGTCGTGCCGCTGGGCGTCGCGGGGGAAGTAGGGCGAGGTGGGCAGGTCGGGCAGGAAGAAGACCTCGGGCCTCTGGATGGAGGGCCGGCTGCTGAGGTAGCGGCCCTGCTCGCGGATGGCCTTGTGGATGCGGCCCATGCCCGACCAGGAGTAGCGCTTGGCGTACTCCTGCAGGTTGTGGTAGAGCTTCTGGTTGAGGCCCTCGTGGTGGGCGCAGCGCACGCACTCGGGGGACTGGCAGTACGCGTAGCCGTTCTGCAGCCCGCCGGCCTCCCCGCCGCCCTGCAGGAGCGAGGACACGGAGGCGTAGGGCCACGGCTGCTCCCGGCCCACGTGGTAGCAGTACCACGCGAACAGGACCAGCAGGCAGGCCACGGTGGCCACGGCCGCGGCGTCGCAGTCCCGCACGGACTGGATGCCCGTGGCGATGCAGTCCCGCAGGCCGTCCAGCGACCAGCTCCAGGCCGCCAGCCACTCGAGCGACATCTTGGGGGTGCTGCCTGTCGGCGTGGGCGTGAAGCGAGGTCAGATCAGTCAGTCCTCCGGGGTCCCAGGGGCGCCCGCGCTTGGCAGGTTAGCGCGGGGCAGTGGGGGCAGCGGGGGCGGGGGGCGGCATGGCTGCCCCTGTTCCTCGGGTCCCGCCAAGGGTGGCATTGGCAGGCGAGGCCGCCTGTGCCCACCACCCCACTCCGGGCACAAGGGGCTGTGGGCAGCGTGGCAGGAGCTGCTTTGGGTCACATCGGCGAGTGGTGTTGGTCACTAGGAAACGATTTTTTTTTTCTTTTAAGTCCAAACCTGGATGAAAAACAAAACAAAACAAACAAAACACAGCATAAGTTTTTACGCCGGGAAAAATCCTCACGTGAAATGTGAAGTCCCAGATCGTCTCGGAAGGTCCTTGCTGGTGGGGGACACACTTCTCAGCCTTGTGTATTCTCTCCCCACTTTACCCACCCCCCCCATTTCCCAAAAGACCAGCGGTGTTCCATCTGCATCGAGTACTGTGTGACTATTACAGCCATCCCATGCGTTTTACAGCTTCCCTAGGAGCTACTAGTGTTCCCATTTCACAGATGAGGACAACTGAGGCCCAGACATCCTACAGCTCCCCGAAGTTCCTCCAGCCACCACCGCGGGGTCACAAATCCCGTGACTTCAAAGCGGTAGCTACCCATTCTGCTATACTTTCATTGTAGCTATTTAATAAATGCTTAGCCCCCTTCACTCTCTGTCCTTTTAAAAGAGACGTGGGCTCACAGAGCATTTTAAAAAAACGGCAAAGGCACTTTAAGACGGCCTATTTTCCACTTCACTGTTTTCCTAGCCCTCCATCATTCTTGTTTCATCCCTCCTGGCCTCCTGGCACGGGCTGAGCTTCAATGAGACTGGAACAGGAAGTGCGCTCCCTGGGGTCCCGGCCATGGCGGACACTGGGCGTTTCAACCTCTCACTTGGGAGGCTCCTTGCATGAAAGTGGCACGCTGAGAGGGAACGGAAGTAAAAGCCTTTCAGGTCTCTGACCATCTCCACACACACAGACACTCTCCCACGTGTTTTACTGATGGCCAGGGTCACTGTCCAGCACCCTGATTGTCCTTAGAACCTAAGGTCTGATCAGGGCACAGCAGTCATGTTACCCGTGTCTTAAGGTCCCCACCATGTTCCCCAGCCGAAACCCGCCAGCCAACTGCTTTTCCTAACCCGATGACAACCACCAGGTCTATGCGTTACTGGGTCCTCTCGAGGCGAGCAACAAAATAACTCAGACAATTCGTTTTGTGCTCTGCCCTCCCCCTCCTCTCTCAGGAAGGTGAGAAAGTAACGAAAAGAATGGGAGGGCTGGGCCCTCCCCTGTCAGGACCACATGTGTGGCCTGAAAGTTCTTGCCACGGAGCAGAGATTAAGAACTGGAGATGTTGGCGGTGACCTCCCAACCCTGACAGGTCACTGCCCCTCTCTCAGTCTCAATTTCCTCATCTATAAGACGGATTGGGGGGGGGGGTGCTCTTCTCGCTGAATGAGGGTGAATGACAGATTTCAAGCACTTCCGATCGTGTCGTGGTAAGCATTCAGTATGTGCGCTGGTGACTGCTGTGACATGTGGCATCCGCCTTGCTTAGCCAGCAAAACCAAAGGTGGGGCCTCAGGGAGAGAGAAATCAGGACAGGAAATTCCAGCAGCTACAGGTAGATTCTAGACACTCTTGTGGCCACACATCTCAAGTGATTTTTTTAAATTTATTTTTTGTCTCCAGCCTTGCAAAGCCAAAAAAACGAAAAGGGAAACCTTAGGTGATCATGCACTGCCTCTTTGCATCCTCCCAGCTTAGGGAAGGAACCAGGAACCACGTGACAACGGTGTACAGGAAGTCCAGAACACACGTGCCGCACAGTCACGCGTGGTTTTTATGTTTCTAGTTGGGGAGGTTAGGCGCACGCTAATTTTTTTTTCCTCTCACGTGTTCTTGATTTCATCACAGACGTGGGAGAAGAGGGAAAGGCTGGGCCCCACGGGCTGGAAAGAGACCCCCTCGGGGGCTCCCTGGTTCTCTCCCAGTCCTACCGTGACGGGCAGCTGTTTCCTCTCCAGATGGGAAGGAACATTTGGATGAAAGGTGCTTTGTTTGCAAGCCAGCTCGCAACAGAACCCCGGGATTCCCGAACGCCAGCGTGAAACCGTCACCTGCATGGCTACAAGCAGCTTGGACTCGAAGGGATTTCCCCATCGCTGAGCTCAACTCCGAACTGCAGCTTGTAAACACCCTCTCTCAGGAGGAGCGGTTTCCTGAAATGTTCTCCGAGTGAGAGGCTGATAATTTGACAAACACCTGTTAAGTGTTAGTTCCCATCAGCCCTGCTCCGCGCTAGAGTTTAAGTCAATCAAAATGAAGATGTGGAGGGCAGGGAAGAGGAAGAAGGAATCGCTACACTGAGCCCCCCTCCTGCTTACCCCCTCCTCGGGGAAGCGCCGTTCTGTACGAGGACAGGATGTACAGATCGCTATAGACTGAGCCATAGACAAAAGGCAACAACAGATCCTGACCCCCAGAGTTCCAGGCTCGGACCCTGTTCACAAGCTCCTAAACAGCGCTTGAGCTGAAGGGACTTTTCAGACCTGTCCGTTACTTTTACCCAAATCATGCAGCCGGGCCCCTGGGCCAAGAGGTGGGTTAACAAGCTCACGGCTGAACCTTGACACTAAAGGTGGCCGGTACATTAGCAGGGTGATTGGCAGTTGATTAAATATGGGTTCAAACATTTGACCCTCTGGCATCCAGTGACAAAACCACGTCTCCCATGGATTCCCCCTCCCCCACCCCCACCTCCCGTCTCAGTGACCACAGCAACAACTTCCGGCTTCCTTCACACATCTGTTCGTTTTCACGTTCCGTTTCTGTCCTCCTTAGGGAAGGAGACACCTCACTTCAATAATATGCAATTCCAGATCTTAAAGGCCAGTCTGCTTGGGGGGAATCAAGTTCAAGTTCATGGCCCATGGGGGAGCAAGTCCAATCCAGTATAACTTCTGATCTGATGGACACCTCCCTGGGGGACAGACCTATAGCTCTGACCTGCTTAACCCAGTTCCCAATACCAGTCCAGGGGCTTCCCAAGGCTAAAAAGCTTCTGGTCCTTTTTAGGGGTGAGGCCAGGTCACCCCAGAAGCTCCCCCAGCAGGGAGCAGGCGGCGCGGGGGCAAAGTGAGCAATGCCCGCCGCCCTTCCACCCAGTGGGGACCCGGAGACCTTTCCTCCCCACTTTCTGGGCCAGCTTTCTCAGCATCCACTCACTCTGGGGGAGGCTGAGGGGGAGAGGGGAGGGCAGAGGTTGGGTTCATACAGATGGTGACCATATACCAGGAGGTCGGGGAAGAGGGAGGGGGATGGACGGGAAAAGTGGACAATCCGCTACTGAGTAGGGAAACGAAGCTCGTGTGGATCCCTCGGGGGCAGGGGAGAGGATTACCACGGGAAATAGGGGAAGTGGGTGAAGCTCAGGGTTGGGGGGAGGGGAGAGCAAGCAAGGAGAGGGATCCAGGAGGAGGGTCACGGGGAGGAGGCGAGGCGGGGGTGGAGGGGATAAGTAGGAGACTGTGATGGGACCGGCGGGGGGAAAGGAGGAGGGTGATGCCCCCGGCCCGGGCCGTGAACACAGGCGCGTAGCGAGCGCCGGGGAGCTCGGGCCCCTCGCCGGGCCGGGATGTGGGGCGCAGGCGGGCGCCGGCGCCTCAGAGCATCCTCGGCGGCCGCGGCTCCCGGCGCGGGGACCGCGGGCCTGCAGCCGCCCGGCCCCCCCTCCTCCTCCCGGGGAGCCGGGTCGGCCCAGCCGCGCCGCCCTCCCGCCCCGCAGCCTCCTCCCCAGAGAGACCCGCTTACCTGCGCCCGGAGCGCCCGCGGCAGGGGCGACCGCTGGGCCCGGGGCGACTCCGCCGCCCGAGGGCGCGGACGCGCGGACATCCCCTGCCCGCGCCGCGGAGCCTCTGCCGGGCCGGCCGCCGCCCGGGCCACGCCGCCGCCGCGGGACCGAGCGCGAGAGGAGCCGGAGCCCCGTCGGTGCCGACGCCGCGCTCCGCGGGGCCGGAAGGACTACAACTCCCACAATGCCGCGCGCGCGCCGGGGCGGGGCCGGCGGGGCGGCTGCGGGCTGGGACTCGGACCCCAGAGTGGATCCTTGCAGTGACCCGAGGATCGAATCGCGCCGCCCGCTCTGGTGGCTTTTTCGGGAGGCGGCCGGGACCTCGTGCAGCCAGACGCACCGCCCGCCAGGCCAGCCGGAGCTCAGCGATCCGTGCAGGGCGGCGCGCCTTCATTCATTCATTCATTCATTCATTCGATCCTCTCTCCCCTCCGTCCCTCTGCTCTTCCTCTGGGTCCCTCCGCCCCTCTCCTCCGCCCCTCTGCTCCCCCTCCTCCCTCTTTTCCTCTCCTCCGCCCCTCTCTCAGGCTGAGTCTCTTTCTCCTCCTCTTCCTCCTTTCCTTCTCTTTCGCTTTCTCGCCCTCTTCTTGGCTCGCACTTCCTCCCGCCCTAACATCCTTCTTCCTTTACCGATTGAGTCAGCCTACACGTAGAAGGCCTCTCCGGCACTTGGGATGAAACCGCAAATCAGGGTCCGTGGTCTCACGGAAACCTCATTCGTTCAGTATAAACAGTAACGACGAGGCCCCCTCCTCGTGCCTGGCCCGCCTGGCCCGTGCCTCTGTGGTGAACGATGCAGACCAGGCCCCAGCGGGCAGGCAATTACAGTGCAACCAGGAGGAGTCGATGCCCAAGTAATCATAGGTGTGCCATGTGTACCGGTGAATAATGCGGATTTTTTTTTCAAGAGATGGAGTTACACATATGTTGATAATATGTGATTCGATATGTATGCTATTCTGTTGTATTGCTCCTTTCAGATGACCGCTTTGTTCCCATCGATGGCACACGCTTTCTGAGCAGCACTTCAAAACGTAGGAGGAAGTGGGAAATGGGGGTCTCTGAATGGTC